ATTGTGTGTTGGTTCTTAGGGGGGTGGGGGGCGGGGAGTAGGGGGGGGGTGGGTGGGGGGGGGGGGGCAGTGCGCAGGTTCAGGGCCGACCACGAAGCGAGGTTGCCTAAGGGCACCTTCCAGAGCGACAAAGGACTCAGCAGAGTTTGCATTAAAGCATTAAAAAAGTTATGCCCCCAAGTTTTAGAACCCATGCCTAACCCCAACCCCCTGAGGTGCTTCTCAGCCAGACTTGAGTTCCTGGCATCACGCAGCAGCCGGGCCGTGCCCCACAGGCTGAGCACCTTCCAAATCATTCAGAGACACCCCCCCCCCCTCTCCCCCAAACCCACAACTCTCTCAACCCTAAAAATACCCCAAAAAACCGAAAAGCCGATAGGGCTGTGGCGCTTCGTGCCTTCAAATTCACAAGGGTTCACCGGCTACCTATTGGAAACAAAAAACCTAGGAGCCTCCAGAAATTTGCACGGTAGCCGGGCGACGAGCGCGCCGGACACGGCTTCCTTGGCTTTCCGTGGATGGGAACCCTGCATTACATGCTCAATCATCATCATACCGAGCTAATAATCATAGCAATAATCATAGCAAAACGAATTTTCATGATTTGCAAGCCGAAACTAGCGGAACTAGCGGTCCCGGTACGAGGAATTCGTGTCTGCCATTCATTGGAGGTCGTTCGTGGGCTGTGCAGGGGTGGGGGTTTCAAACAAAAGTAAAGGTGATCCCGACGCTTACCAACATGGCCAGTTGCATTGTACTGAAGCGACCCCAGGTGAAGCCACAGCTTTCGCAAGTTTCCTGCCGCAAGGGTTACCTAAACATCAAGAATCAAGTTCATTCTTGAACTTGAATTGCGAAGTGGCGATGCAGCAGGGACCGGTTCCGAACGAGAGCAAAACACACAATGTTATCCAGTGGCTGGCTGGGGCAGCTGGGGGCAGTGTTTACAGCATCAGCAGTCGCAGGGCAGCCATCAAGAATAGCACCAACCATATGTGGACTGCAAAAAACTCCCTCCACGCACGCAGCCGTGCAGAAGAGATGGCAGGGATGTCATCAAACAAAACAAGTCGACAGTCGATGACTTAGGCGACGCCAGGGAGAGCAGCAGCGCAGAGTAGCAACCAGCCCGACCCGCAAGCACACCATCAACGCCACCACCAGCCCTCAACCCTCAAACCCTCAACCCTACACCCGACAGCATGCTCCTAGCTGGGCAAGAGCTCCGAGAAGCGCGACCTTGACCAAGAAGAGTGTGCAAGGGAGCTGGGTTCGTGTAAAGGGTCCTCCTGAGATCCCTAAACCCTAAGCTATATAGTCCTTCACTTGGAAACCCTGCATGCTACGATAGAAGGTTCGTTTCTGCAACGCAAGGCGACTGACCAGCTATCGACTGGTACTGAGAGAAAATGGGGTTCGCGCTAGTGTGGATGGGTTTCTTCTTGCCCTATGGCGATGCCACTCTTACGGGCCTGCAGCTCCTCAAGCCGGAAGTTCTCTGTGTAACTTGCATATTTCCGAACGCTGGCCTCCAGACAACAGTGGTCGGTTGCGATGTAGAGCTCTTGTAATGCAGGAAGCATTCCCACCTGCCGCGGATGGTGACAATGGCGTATGGAACATGGGCAAGTACTCACAATAAATGCACATAAGCTGCAAACTTCGCGGCCTCCTGAAGACAGTTTGGCGCGCTGAGCTTTGACCCCTCGCCGCGCATGTCTTCGTAAGACACCGCCAAGGACATGCGCCGCAACGCCTTCCAAGCACCGATGCAGCAGAGTCCAGGAATGCTGAGCTGCCCCTTGCAGTTATCATGGCTAAAATTCGAAGTTGCAGCCTTGAGCTGTTGATAGATTGGAGGCAGCATGGCGGCCAGTTCCTCATCTGCTGAAGATGAGGTCAAATTCTACACCGGCATCTTATCAAAACAAGATCGTGCGCAAGGTAGCAGTGAATCAGGAGTTGTGGTTGCTGGCTGCTAGGGCCTGGTGCGAAAACAAATCGATCAAATCCGAGCAGCATCCTCCACAATCCACATGGTGCCATCCTCCGCCAAAGATCGGCAAAGGCTGCGCTTGAGACCAGAATCGCCCAGCTCCAGTGTCTTTGCCAGATCTAATGTCACCAACCTCTCCCACCACACAAAGCTTCCTGCCAGGATTTTGTAAACGACACATGAGCGCAAGAACAACAGGCTGTTTCTTGACAACTAGTTAGCGCACATGCTGCATGCTGCAGAGGGGAGCGCTCACTCATGACGACAACAGCCATCTGAAACAACCAACCGAAGCTGAGCCTTGCAAATGGGTGGCCGTGCTACACTTTGAAAGAATGAGAACTTAGGTAACTTAGGTTCAGTTCTGACCGCGCTGTGCCTTTCAGCAAGGGTCTGAGCCTCTCAGCATCCTCATGTAAGGCGGCGCAAAGGAAGCGTCCTGCAACGCACTTGGGCTTATTCTGAACCCAATCGGTGAGCCCTAAGCCCTGTATTTGCAACTCTACAGTAGACTTCGACCATGAGCCGCAGAATAATTTGAAATGAAAAGGGGTGGGCGAGCCTAGAACTCAGGTTCATAAAAGGTCTGTCTTGCGGAAGTCTCACAGCCTGACAATACCTTGAAACTACTCTATAAACTATTGAGCACCAGTGGGTGATCCCCTTGAGAGGAGGTTTTGCCGAGCAGCCCAGGCCCTAAACTTAGCTAGCATGGCATACCCAAAACCAAGCAAATAGATACCTCAGCTACCTGAAACCTGAATTGTGGAGGTGTCAAGAAGTCGACAAGCGAATGAGCCCAAGTGATGCCAAAGTGCATCAGGATGGGTGTGGGACAGGTGAATTGTTATGCGCAAGCCCACATTCTGGCTGAGGCTGCTACCTCCGGGTTCTCGTCCCACGAAGCGCAATGGCCTAGAGATAGCAAAGCTGCTTGATGCTAGCAGCTCGACCTCTATTTCGGCATGTCTCGGCAGAGGGGATGCTACAGTAGGTGGGAAGGCTGGAGAATGAGAAGGGAGAGGGTAAGCAGAGTCATCAAAACTCCCGTGTAAGGGAGCGCATCACAGCTTCCTTGGCACACCGACGTCCCCTGCAACTGACCGTAAATGGCCTGCTGCAGCACCGAAGGCGCCCAGCAGCTGTGTTTGTTAGCACCTGCCACTGCACAACTGTCGCACCCTAGAATGATTCGCGGATGCACTTTTTGTTCGAAAGCCCATTACTATAGCCCTGTTCATGTTCATTTGCATTCGCCTCTGCAAGGCTGGCAGCATCCAGCACAGCCGCTGCGCGATCCATGGCCCCAAGCTAAATTTCTCCCATGGCGCTGTCGCCGTGCATCGAGAAGGCTCGTCTTCAAGCGAAGTAACGCAGCAGCTGTCCAACAGTCTGATCCTTTCAAGAGAATTTGTTGGCATCTGTCGGCTTCTTGAGACCTTTGCAGTTTTGCTACAGCATGCTGCAATGCTACACTCCCATGGCTCTTCTTGACCAATCAGGGGCAGCATGCTGCAAGGGAAGGCGTTTCAACGTGCCTCACTCTGTCAAGTCCTCGAACCTCCGACATTGCCTACATGCGACTGAAGAGGCAATAAGCTTCACAAGCCCCAGAGAGCGCCTCGACAGCGTTGCGCTTCATAGGGACATACGGGGCCCCCAGAAACCGACGCAGCTTCGGCAAGGCGAATGGCAACTTGGCTTCTGAACGCTGAGTATTGAGCTGGGGTGTGCAGTTCGCGGCAGCAAGGCTGGCCAGCCAGGTTTCCAGGAACAGAAAGATTCCATGATCGAAACATATCTGATGCGGCAAAGGCACGGCCAAGCCATTAAACACCACGAAGAACCCCGTCGCGCCCAGGAATACTTTTCTGACTTTGCTTTCTGCCACTGTGACCTGGCCAGCACGAAACGAACAATCGATGGCCTCCTCAACATGTTTCAACGTTCCAATTTCCATGTGCGATCGAACTCCGCCTGAAAGCCCAAGATGTTGATACGCTTCTTTTTGACCTGCCGAGAGCACTCCTGCCCCCTATCATGCAGTTCGTGTACTGTATTGTACTGTATTGTACTGTGTTGTCAGAGCTTTCCACAAGAATCTACACTGCGGCGATCGCTCCGGGAAATGCGGCCTGGCCTCTTCGGGGAGGCCTTCAGGCTTTGGGGCCTGATGAGCGGCACCGACACTTCGTTCTGACTACATCAGGGACTCTGTTGCGATATTCAAGAGGGACAACCCCAGATGAAATATGTGACTTCACTTAGTCGAGAAACCGCAGTGCCCTCTCTATGGAAGATGAAGCATTCAGCTCCCAGGTGCCTCCATACTCTTGGCTCATGCAGGCAACGATTCCAAGCCCACGTTCACAAGCAAGGGATGCCATTCCCCCCCCCCCCCCCCCCCCCCCCCTGATTTTGGATTTCTCTATGAAGCTTCCGGGCCTCAGGGCTTTTCTCAGGTGCGGCCATGGCAAGCGGCCTTGGTTTTACCACGAATTGCTCACTGACCTGCTGCCTGGCTGCCTGGCTGGGCCCTAGGCCGTAAGACCCTAAGAGGCTACGAAGACATCAAGATGAGCTTCAGGTAACGGCGCCTTCAAGCACTCCTGGCTGGAAGTCCTCTGAGGACTGCGCTCTCTGAGATACTTTTGCCCGCAGAACACACGTCAAGCGGGCGGTGCCAGCATGGTGTCACCACGTCTTTCTGAAAAAGTCTGTTCTCGGCTGAGGTGGTAAGTGCTGCATACTGTGAGCTCAGGGCAGTCAGGGTAACGTGTTGCATTGCAGACTCATGGAGCATAGCGGCATCGTGGAGCGTTGCTTGTCGAGCTCTGGGTTTGGGGCTTTGGGCTTCGGTGTTGTACTTGTGCTCTGCGCCTCTCATTCCTCTCATCTAACCTTGAGCCCAATCCATTGGTGGGCTTCTTCTGCACTAGTAACCTGCAGGCCCGAGGAAGTCTTGGTGCCAATCCCAGCCAATCCGAATCATGCCGGGCAGAACAAGGTTGATTTCGGCCACGTATCGCCGAAGCTCTTCCTGCAGAAAGGCCGACAGAGAATCACTCTTGCCTTCATGGAAGTACATTAGTATTCGCAACGAGTACATTACCATTCACAATGAGTTCACATGTACCCACATTGTTACGTTCACGGCGCCTGCTCTACGGAGTCTGAGGGGGCGACCGGCGTTGCAACCGTGTCCATCTTGCGGAGCATGATCTCCACCTCTTGCACTCTTGCGGATGACTATCCATGTATCCATGCAAATAAAATCTCGTGCTTTTGTGGTTCATTCATATATTCATCACTGACAAATTAGCAGCGCGCTGTGTTGCAAGAACTAAGTGACTAACAGCCCCAAGAACACCGGAATTCCTGGTCACTAGTCCAGGCGCCACGAGGTGGTATATGGCGGTCTGCCTCCCGCTCTTCCAGGAGGAGATTGTTGGACTCATCGACCTTTTGAATTGCAAAGGTGGTTCAGGCTTGTCAGGGTTCACAGGGTTCACAGCACACCAAAAGCACACGCTGGACCTCACAGAAGAGTTCGAAGAGTAGCTCCTTTCACTTGCTAGGAACGGCCCAAGCAAGAACCACTGGACAACGGCCGTGACAAACTGCCAATGATGCATCTATCATACCATCAACACGACATGTCAGCTCAGGAGGCCATGTGAGCACGCGCGCGATGAGTGAACAGCCAGCCACAAACATATGCTGGCAAATGCTGCAGCAGCTTCGCAGTTACTAACATTGCCCCATCATGTCAAAAACCTTTCTTCTCAAGTCAGCAATGTCAGCAAGAGGCCAGAACCCACTCTCAACCGGAATCTACGCTTTTGACGGGCGTTTGACTTTGCGACAGCCCTGTCAGACATGATCTGGAAATTGTCCAGCCGCCAGTGCGCAAGTTCACAATATCAAATGCAAACCACCAATTTGACCACAAATGCTTTAGTTCCAAGTGGCCGACACATGAAAGTGCACGCAAGGCTAGTCTTGAATCTGCACCAGCTGCGGGTCCATGTCACCCTCGAACTCCTTTGCGAGTAGCTTGTAGTACCTTGACTTGGACATGGGCTGTGGTAGACGATGCTTGCTGGATATTATACAATCAGATGCAATAAGCTAGTGTTCGCTTGTGTTTTCGCATTCCGGATCAGAGTAGCACATTAGTAGGAGTAGGAGATGGTGAGAGCAGTTGTAATATTGGTGGTAGTGGTAGTAGTAGTAGTAGTAGTAGTAGTAGTAGTAGTAGTAGTGGTGGTCGCAGTAGAAGTAGTAGTAGAAGTAGTAGTAGTAGTAATAGTAGTAGTAGTAGGAGTAGTAGTAGCAGTAGCAGTAGCAGTAGCAGTAGTAGCAGTAGCAGTAGCAGTAGCAGTAGTAGTCGTCGCGGTCCCACATTTGGCAGTACAAACCGTATCGCTCAAAGCATTCTACTCAGTAGTCGGCTGGGGCAGGAACAAAGTATTTGTATGCTGCAGCTGCATTGTCTGAGGAGTTGAGTCTGGCACAGCGGCGGAATCTAATAGGGCATTTGCCTATGCAAAAATAGACGCATAAAGCTTCTGTTCTATCTCATCGCGCTCGTCTGAGAGTTGAGCTCGGGCATCGTCTCCAACAGCCCAGTTTGACTGGCACAGAAACGAAGTACATCGGACGAGCAGTGACTAGTGCGGTGGACAACAGCGCAAGGATCCATGCCCATGTGCCACTGGCGTTGTTCGCATACTACAAGCAACAGAACAAGCACAACTGGAACGAGACTGCAGCACAAGAACTCGATGGATGAATGAGCTTTCCGTTGCCCTACCTCTCTTTCTCCATGATTAGCGTCAGCATCCGCTCCTCCTGCGGTGCTTCGGATGGCATGCTCAGGACTGGTGCTGACTGCAGCTGTCGGGCAGCTGGACAAGCAACAGGGAAGACCAACCACTTCAAGACCAAAGCTGCCTGTACTCTCCGCTCTACTTAACTAACGAATTCATAAGCTCTAAGTCACAATTCCAACAAAGCTGATTTCCAGACTTTACGAGGACAGCTGCAGCCTCATTCAACCAGGAAATGCAAAACAGAACTCTGCCTTCAGCTCGCGCAGCTGACTGTAGATTCTTCGGTATCCCATGACCTCCCACGCATCTTCAATATCTGAGCAGACGTTCTGCGCACAAGCGTACTGTCAAATCTTTTGTTGCTTTCAGAACCCAACACAAAGAAGGCGGTGTATTGAGTAGTCTGCCAGAGTCTGCTAGAAGTCTGGAGTGAATCAAAGGCTTCATACCATGCAGTAAAGGCTGGTCAAACTTCAAGTCTCTCTCCACTCAGCCGCCGACATTTCTGCGCAGAGACAGCCAGTCGAGTCCCTTCCAGGCCACATGTTCTGCAACCCAAATGGATATTCCCCATCCTTGCGGTGGGGCTGCTAGAGTTTTAGCTAAGCTCTTCTCCTCGCCCTGCCCAATCGGAAGTATCCCGGAGTCTGGTTCGAGAGTTCCAGGAGTGCCCAACCCCAGTATCCCGCCCAACTCCGGAACATGACCACAAAGTGAGCCAGCAAATTCCTTGTCTGCAGGGGTTGGGGGATGTTCAACATCATCTAATATGTACAGTACTGTATTACTGTATGATTCCATTGTTCTATTGTTCCAGTGTACTACTAGTCCATGATTCTGTTCTTCCGTGATGACATTCTTATATTCACACATTGCTAATTGGCTCAATCGCCTCGATGCTCCAAGCAGTGGCACTACTTGCCCAGCAGACTGCTCAAATACAACCTCTAGAGTGCTACCCTCTCAACCATCTACTAGGCCGCATACAGCCGACCCTCAAGCCCTCCCTGCCTGAAGCCGCGCATCGCAGCCAACGACGCCGGAACCCAGCAGACCAGTCAGCAACGTGGCTGCGCCGAAGCTGTAGGAGGAGGCCTCTCTCATTTCTCCCTCTTTTCGCGCGCAGATCTGGCAAACTCGGGTATTTTCTGAGAAAGGCTACTTCCGCCAGTTGGCAATCCAGCAGATGCCTTCTGCTCAGACCCATTGGAGCCGCTGTACCACCGCAGCAGCGAAACGAGCGAGATGGATCCATCCTTGCAGGGTCTCTTCGAAGTCAGGGCGGCTCCGATCCGATCATAGAGACTGGCATAGACTGGCGCTCAGGCCGGTTGCAACACCAACTCTGCAGCATGTGCAAGAAGTGAGTTTTTCTCGAGCGCAGGACACTTTAGGGTAGTTCCGGGCTGGCACCGCGGACCCTAATCCCGAGCCCCTGCCTTCTTCTGGGGAGTACTCTCCTCTGTGCTCCCAGGAGCACAGCTCTCAATTGCCTGGCAGTGGCGTGTCTGCTCTCTGTCCGCTATAGCAACCACTTTTGATGAAGCGGGCCTGCAGCAGCTTGGTGGCCTCATCTCCCCGGACGCGGCCATCCAGGTTGGCATCATGCTGGACGAATACGGCAAACAAAGCCTCCGCACTTTTGCTTCAGGATGCTCCGTGTTTCGGGCTGGCCCACCCCGAAGCCCCAAATCCACACGACCCCCCGAAGCCCTGGTTTTGACACCCCATGCGGCATCGCACAACGTGGCGCCTCTTCGGCTCGGTCGAGCTCCAGGGTCAAAAGCCGATGGATCTCAGGAGAATCATTGGGCCAATCAGTGTTTTGACATGTTTTGAGGGCTCTTGGTGGTGGAAAACTTGCGCACGGTCCCGGATTCTGTTAGGACAAAGCCAGGGCTTCCGTGTCGGGACCGATGGCAGGGGCAAAGGCCCTCGGCCCTAATTCCTTTAAGCAATGAAGCAAAACGTAAAAAACCTCAACAACTGAGTAGAGCCATACCTCGCTGAAGGGTTTGATGCAACAGGCTTGCTAAACATGAACATTGCCAGTGGTCAAGCCGTGCATATTCAGGATGCAGGGCAGATAATGAAAAGTGTCTGCAGGAGGTCACTATAGCCTGGGCAATTCTACAGGCTCGAAACGACACTGCGAAAAGCCTGTTGTTCGATTGTCTGCGCGGTTGGACAGATACCGAAGATGCTGGGATTCGGGGTTCAGTGCTTGTGAGATTCTGTGAGTGTTGGGAAACTCGAAAACTGATGCTCTAAACTCTAAAACCCTACCAGGTCTGAAGTTGTAAACTGGTAAACCCTGTAGAATGTTGTGAAATGATTTCAAAAATTCCCTCGTTCCCGTGATTCCGGTGCGACCAAGTCATGCCAAGACACCCTCATGGCCAGCCGTCTGAGATAGTGCACTTCCCATTCTCGATATGCCTTCCGAAATTATTGTGACTCTTGTCTTCGTGCTAGAACCACGCATGCGCTTCAGATTGTGCTCAGTCTTCGTGGGCTTGTCACATCCTGTGACTAAACGTGGCTAAATCTAAACCTTAAGCCCCTAATGTTAGCGTCGCATCCATAACCCCCCCAAGATGTGTTTAGCGTCTCGGGAGTTTGAGGGGTGTAAGAAAAGCAAGGGTGGCAATTGAGTGGGTCTACCTGAAGGCTAGAATGTTCTCTTGCGCCTTAAGAGAGATGGTCTCTCAAACTTGAGGCTTCCCAGGGCCTCCGGGCTCCGAGATTATTGTTGCCACCCGGTTATTATTACCTCAGAGGCCCGTGAAAGGGGTACCCTCTCCGGACTTGTTTTCAAGCCCCGGCGGATAAGGATTTAAGCAAGGAAGCTGCTGGGCTGAGATCTCTGGCAGCTTCCAGACATCCAGGACCCGAAGGCTGAAGGTTTTAGCTTAAGGAGGTTTATCTGGAGTTACAGCAATCTCAATCGAGATCTGCTTCTCTAGAGACCGAAACCGAAGCTTCTGGAGCTGTTTCTGGCCTGCTCGGATGACAAAGCTTAACTGAACAATTAAGCAATCTGCAATAATCTGCAGTAAATTTAGGGTTCCTGGCCAGTTGAATGTTAGAATAGTCACCACTTTCTTATCCTCACCGGACTCCCTTATAAAGATCTGTTTAGACATATGAGCCCGGAACCTTCTGCTAATGGAAAGTAGTCTTGGACCGTCATCCCCTGGCCGGCCGCATATTAAAAGCTCCCACCCCACTAATAGATGTGGGGTTGACATTAAGCTGACTTGTCACGAGACCGAGCAATTTGGAGCCACCTCTGAGAGGTAAACGGCCTCGTCGTCTTCGGGATCCTGCCCACGGCAGGGCTTTTGAGTCTTTCATCCAAGTTTGGGGCTGCCATGAAGCACTGGTTTGAAATGAGATCCTCTTCTGGGTGATCCTCTTCAATGTACTCTCCGCCATTCTCCTCAGACATTGCAAACTGTGGCCACCAAGTGGGGGCTAGACTCGGCTAGACAATGGATCTCAGTCAAACAATGTATGTGCGTTTACAGCCCACCACTGCTACAACTCAACTTTCAAGACCACTGCAACATTGCAACCGCACTGTCTGTTATGCCAAAACCACTTCTTCAAGAAACGACTGCGACCTCTCTGCTCTGCGCTAAGCATCCTCCCATCGCTCGCTGCCGTCTTCGTCACCTTCACAATGAAACATGGGTTCACAAATCTGACTGCTGAAAGAGATCGAGCTCCGATCGCCTTCCAGCAGCGAGTCTTGTTGCCGCACCTGATGGTCAGGGTTTTCTCGCAGGTGCACATGGGTGTCGCCCAGTCTTTGATGCATGTGGTTAGGCCAAGCTGCATCAGTCCAGCAATAGACAATAGAGAGTGCCGGGCGCACCCAGACGAGCAGGACACAGGGGGACCCCATTGTTTGCCCGAGCGAATGGCGAAGGCGACTCGCGTGGTTGTACTTGCGCGTTGCGGCTTTGTCGGATCATCTTTCCGTACACCCTTCAAGCGTGCCCTCGGACCTTTTTGAGGATGCACCTGTACTTCGTGAAATCCTTATTTCAGCATTGTTAGATCTGTTTTCGGAGCCTCCTTCGGACAATTCTTCGGATCTGAATGCGAAGCCCCTCCTCTTCAGTGTCAGATGAGCCGTGGTCTTTTTCCTGCAAGATTTTCTATGAAACAACGAATCCTTCCGCGGAACCCTTCCGTTCTTCTGCGGGCGCTCCCGCGAACGGATTTCGCGCTGTTTTGAAAAATTTGCTTCCGCGAGTAGGTCTGTAAGATACAAACTCGAACACGCGTCGGGTGGTCCAGAGCTCGACGAAACACTGCTGAAACTTGGAGGGGTTCGATCGCTGCATGCGGACTGCTTGGAACGCGGGAGCTATAAAGGGAAGGGCGGGCATGGTTTGGTGGGCGGTGACAGAGAAGCATGAAAGCAGTAGTGTTGCGGAGGTGGCGCTTGAGCTTGCAGCCGCTGCTGGGCCGTCGATTATGCAAGAGCATGGACTCAATGGCAAGGGCCTGGACCTTGGGGTCGGCACGCAGGCTTCCGGGGAGCTTCTGGGGAGCTTCCGCGGAGCTTCCGAGGTGCTTCCGCGGAGTTCGCGCTAAACTTCGCGGATTTGAGTCGTCGCTTCCCCGGAGCTTCCGCGGAGACGCAAAACGACCCCGCTGTTACAAACCTTTGCTGCGCGCGGTGAGGAGGTTTGGGGCCTGCCTAGCATAATCGCCCGCTGCCAGACATGTCGGGTTGCTATTGAGGTTTCTGTGCAAGTGTTGGAGATAAGCTACGTGCTGTTCATTCAGACATTTGCGTGTCCCTTCGGCGGATTCATGACACGGACCTTTAAGAACAACCCTCATGTCCTTCTTGCTGCCACAGCCATTCTTTCGGTTGTCTACATCTACTACCGGGCTCCTATCACTTAGTGTGCCAATCGATGATCCAGGGCACCTCTGCACTTGGAGCAGAGAATAGGGCATCCTGCCATCAACGGAGGTTTTAGGTTTTCCGCAGACTACAAACCGTGCAGCTCTGTGAACAAGTTGAAGCACCCTACATGACTTCACCGACTTCACCCTGTGCTGCACGCGCACATCCCAACTGTGGACTGCTGGCTATCGAAGATTTTCGAATGTCAGCCCAACTCCTGAGCACCCGCCAACACGGAGGCGCGATCTCTGGGAGCCTGGCACTCCGTGTTGGAGTCTGAGTAGCATGAGCCAAGAAGAGCAAAGAAGGGCAACGAAGAGCAAAGAAGAGCAAAGAGCTTGAGAGGCTTCTGGTGTTTGCTGCTTACAAGCTGCCCACGGCTTTGTCAGAAGAAGACTGCCGGCGTCACTGCTGCTAAGGACCTCACTGCTTCAGCGGCTAAGTCCTTGGAGTACACCGAGACCTTGCCATCTCGCCTGGAAGGGCATTCTTTTTCAAGGCCCACTGGGTCCAAGGGGGGCTTAAAGGGGGGCTTAAAGGGGGGCTTAAAGGGGGGCTTAAATGGAGGCTTCAAGGGGGCTTTGAAGGGGGCTTTCAACAATTGCGCATCCACCAACGAGCGTCGGTGCCGATAAACTTGTCACGCGCGTCAAAGGCATGGGACAAGTTGAGCTCGACACATTATCTTCGTCTGCCTGGTCGGCATTCAGAGCATTGGACAGGCAGAGTTGGCGATATTAGAAGCAACTGAAGGTCTCTCCATACCAAGACAAAAGCTGGGGCAGCAGCCGGGACCGAAGCCCTTTGTCTTCAGCACCAGTACACAGCGCACAGTTTTGTAGGACGGCTGCTGTGAAAGACGCAAGGCTGTTCCACGTCCTTGTTCTTTCATAGGATGCATGAAGCTGGTTTTCTATGCGATGTGCGCTCTTTGCCTTAGAAGCGGAGAACAAGAAATGTAGCAAGCTTGTTTGCACCGGTCCATTCTGGCCTACGACCTTTAATTAGCCAGATCACTCTGTTCGGCTCTGTGCTTTCGATGGCTGCGTTGTGGCGTCACTGACTGGACTTGGCAGGCAAACGATGCTTGAGCCGAAAAGGGCAGTCCGCCTTTTGAGCCGCTCGACTCACAGCCCAAGATGCAGCTGCTGCACTGACAAGTCGTGGAGAACTACAGCTCCCGGACAAGATCGGGCTCTTCTCATCTGGCCAGTTACAGGGAAACAATTGTGCCGAAATAATTAGCTAAGCTGAATGAGAATCACACTTGGTCTGTGACCAGCCTCACATTCTACGTCACAGACATCACATCAACAACTCAAACCGTCTTGCAACCTCCAGACTCCAACAATTCCAAGAACCAAATTGGGAGCCAGACCCTGGCCCAGAACGTGACAGTAATCCCGGCCAAACCTGGCAGGCAGTGCCACAACCAAGACCCCGACAAACTTGCTGTAAAATCCCTACAAGCCGTGCATCCTACATGTCACACTGTGCGGATTGATGGTGATAATAAACAAACAGCGCCATGACGCACGTCAACCACAGGCTGCAGCTGGCATTGAATGATTCATCGCTTAGGCACCGCACCGGCCCCATCCTCAGCCTTGAGACACAGTCGAGCCTTCAACTCCGAAAGCAAACTTCGCGCGAGCGTGTGCGCTCAAAGCGCATGTCGTGATGGTCCGAAACGCTCGTTGGCCAGCCTGAAACGTCTTCGAGATACTTGCTTCTGAAATGATTCCGTGGCCGTAGCTTGGGAGCGTCAGTTGCTGGATCAGGGCGACAAGTGGAGACTGCAGCTTTGCCCTGCGAGCCCTTCTTCCCGGCCCGTGAACGCCGTGAACGATCACATCTTTGTATTGATTGCGCCCGGACGAGCTACGTGAACAAACCATGTCGCACATATTCTCGCTCATATACACCCACGACTTGCAATACCCGCAATTACAAAACCAGGCTTGCAGAATCGGCATGGTCCTGCAACCCATCTGAGGATTGATGTCGCCCAGGACAACATCACGCATGTAATGCGGGACAATATGCAGGGCTACGTCACGGTGCAAGGGCCTCATACTGTTGAGATCCCCCTCAACCCGCCCAGATGCCCAAGGCTGCCAGGCTGACTTTCCTGCGGTAGATCTCTGAGAAGGCCTCTGCCTGGCCGAAGAGTCGGGTGTGGTGTATGTCCCTTTTCCAGGTCTAGGGCCTAGGGCAGCATCGGGTTCAACCTCACAGGCAACTGTGGAGTTGCTGCATTTTCACCTTCTGACTGCCTTCGTCAGGGCCGTCCCGGTGTCCTGCAGAACACGAAGGTATCGCGAGTCGCTAGCAAGACCCCAGGGCTGCATACACTGACCATCATCGCAGCTGTAATTGCTGCTTCCAGAGCTCTGAAAGCCAGTACAGTCATCATAAGCCCATATCAGACAAGCTTCAATGAACTCTGGGATACTCTGGGCTGTGGGCTCCTCTGTTTTGGCTGCCTGCGCTGCATCTGGGCCATGTCTTTGTGCCTCTCGGCGTTCACGCTTGCCGGTACCCTTGGCTTGGGCTGGGGGCGATCTTCGGAACCTCGGCAACGCCAGCTTTTGGTGCTCCGCACCAGATCCTGGGACCAGAACCGTCCCAAGTGTCATGACATGATGACAGCGCATAGTCTTGCCGCGAGTGCTGAAGCTCGGCCTCCGGCTTGGCAGCTGAGTTTTTGGCACCTGCTCAGGGGTATGCTTCACGTGGCAGGCAAGCCAAGAAAAGGCCGCCTAGGCCTAAGCTGGTTTTTGGTGCAGCTAGCTGCAGCTTGCTAGCTTCAGGGCGTGCCCAGCATAACTGAGCAGCACGGCCTGCAAAGGAGGTCGGCACCCAAAAGGATTCCCAGTATACCAACGCACTCCTGCCAATCATATGATAGAGGACCCAAATGTCCCCAGATGTCCCCCTCAGGCACGAAAGCTTTGCAAGAGAAGTCACTGTCCCAGGCATCCTGTCAAACTCCTTCCGCTGGTACAGGTCAGCAAGGGGGCCGACGCGAGCACCGATCCTCTCGGGCAACGCACCAACAAGTCACTATGAGGCGACAATGGCAGAAATCGCAGCTGTCCGTTCATGATCGTTTATAAGGAGGCCGGAGTAGCGATCCTATGTGCGCCAACATGCGTGCATGATTGGGCTACCAGGGCCTGGACCTCTCACATTACCCTGAAGCTGAGTGCACTCTTGGCCCAAAGCACCTGTTCATGTTTTAAACTTTGACCCAGCTCGGCGTTGCGCGCCCCCGCCTCCCTGGGCTGAGTGAGTCCCCGGCGCCGACCGCCCGCACCTCTGCTGCGAGTCTTTCAGAAACGGAATATTACCGGCGAACAACGAAAAAGTCATCATGACAACAAAAGACAAGATGTGACCTATGGATGTTCGCCGGTTCTCGTTCGATGTCCGCCAGTTGGTTTTCGATGTCCGCCGACGGGACCGGACGGGACGGGACGGGACGGGCCGGGCCGGGCCGGGGCGGGGCGGGGCGGGACGGGGCGGGACGGGACGGGAGGGACGGGACGGGACGGGACGGGACGGGACGGGACGGGACGGGACGGGACGGGACGGGACGGGACGGGACGGGACGGGACGGGACGGGACGGGACGGGACGGGACGGGACGGGACGGGACGGGACGGGACGGGACGGGACGGGACGGGACGGGACGGGACGGGACGGGACGGGACGGGACGGGACGGGACGGGACGGGACGGGACGGGACGGGACGGGACGGGACGGGACGGGACGGGACGGGGGACGGGACGGGACGGGACGGGACGGGACGGGACGGGACGGGACGGGACGGGACGGGACGGGACGGGACGGACGGGACCACGGGAAACGGGACCGGACGGGACGGGACGGGACGGGACGGGACGGGACGGGACGGGACGGGACGGGAGTTCGGGGACGGACGACGGGAGCTCGGCAATAACATATAGGCCCCTCGCTCCCCCCCCGGTATAAAGAGGTTTAGTTTAGTCCGTACTGAAGAGGCCGTTAGGAAGTTCAGGCCTTGACGTTAACGACTTGCTTGATCCGAGGTAGCCCTCATCTCTAAGAAACCTCGAGCAAAAAAACACCATCCCAACAGCATTCTTTGACAAAGTCCCATGTAGACGATGATATGGGGTGGTCTTTTTTTTTTATTGGGGGGGGGAGGTTTTGTTTTGTGTGGGTGGGGGTGGTGGGGGAGGGTCAGCCAGTTCTGTGTATTTCCATAGGACAAAAAACTACATCTTGTCATAGGACAAAAAACTACATCTTGTCACTATATGTCCATAGCAAGACATTCATATGATTTGAAGCAAGCTTGCACGGCTTGTAAAAAGCGGGGGGAGCGGGGCTGCGCGACCCTCAACCCTAAACCCTAAACCAGGGAGTGTAGGGGCCGTCTTTGGTGTATCCAAGGGGCTTTGGGGGTAGCGTCGAGGGTTTTAGAGTTGAGGGTTTTAGGCTCTGTGGTTGAGGGTTCGAGTTTGGGGGGTTAGGGTCTCTCGAGTTGAGGTTTACAGCCGATTCTGTTCAATTTCGGTTCTAACTCCCTGTCATTTCGGTTCTAACATCGGCCCCCAGCCCCCTTGTCAGGGTTGCAGCCAGAACTCTTCAGTTTCGCAAAATTGCAGCCGAATCTTTTCAGTTTCGGTTTTAACAAAGGCCCCCTCGCCTGTTTTCAGTTTCAGTTCTGGCATAGGCTACAGCCGAATCTCTCCAGTTTCGGTTGAACATAGCCCACCCCCTCAGCCCCTCCCCCCCTGGCAAGGTAGAAAGGCTTAGTCCGTACTGAAGAGGCCGTTAAGAAGTTCACTTGCTTGACCCCAGGCAACCCTCCTCTCTAAGAAACCTCCGAGTCCAACAAACACTAAAGAAGCACCATCCCAACAGCATTCTTTGACAACGTCCCATGTAGACGATGACATGGGGTGGTCGTTGTTTTTTTGTTTTTTTGTTTTGGGGGGGGGAAGGGTTGTGTTGTGTGGGCGGGGGTGGTGGGGGGGCAGGCGGTTCTCTATATTTTCATAGGAAAACCGTCAATATTTCCGTCGGAAACATGTTTCTGTAGAAAACCATGATTTTCTCTACATTTACAAAGGGAACGCTCTATTGGTGTGCATTTACATAGGACAACAAACCTCCATTTAAAATTCTCTATATGTCCATAGCAAAACTGGGGGGGGGGGGCCAAAAAAAATTTCATCATTCTTTGAAGCAAGCTTGCACGGCTTAAAAAAAGCGGGGCGCCGGGGGCGGGGGGGGGGGGGGCACGGCCCCCCCCCCCCCATTTGCAAACACAATGATCACACGATGGGTTGGAAGAAGACTCATATGAATATGCTTTGAAGCAAGCTTGCACGGCCCCCATTTGCAAACACAATCATCGCACGATGGCTTAAAAAAAGAGGTTCATCTGATTTGAGGCAGGAGGGTTTGGGGGGGGGCGCAGCCCCCTCCCCCCCCCCACCCCCATTTGCAAACACAATGATCGCACGATGGGCTGAACAAGACGACTCATGTGCTTTGAGGCAAGCTTGCACGGCTTGAAGAAGCGGGGGGGTTGGGGGGGGGCGCAGCCCCCCCCATTTGCAAACACAATGATCGCATGATGGGTTGGAACAAACTCATACGATTTGAAGCAAGCTTGCACAGCTTGAAAAAAGTGGAGGGTTGGGGGCGGGCGCAGCCCCCCCCCCCCCCCCATTTGCAAACACAATGATCGCGTGATGGGTTAAAAAAGCTTCATATGCTTTGGAGCAAGCTTGCACGGCTTAAAAGGTGGTGGGGGTTGGGGGAGGCTGGGGGGGGGAGGGGGTGCAACGCCTCCCATTTGCAAACACCATGAAACACCATGATCGCATGATGCGTAAACAAAAATCATCTGATTTGAAGCAAGCTTGCACGGCTTTTGAAAAGTATCGATGGTGGTCTTCCTGCAAAGGTTGCAGAGTTTGAGATGCTTGGTCAAAAGGTTTTTCGATGCTCGGCGGAGGGTTTTTCGATGCTGGGAGTCAGGTGTTCGATGCTCGGCAGAAGGGTTTTTCGTTGCTCGCCGGAAGGGGATAGTTGCCGCCGGACCTGGATCGATGCTGGCGGGCCGTTTACGTTGTTATCTTTCGTTGTTATGAGACATCTTTCGTTGTCCGCCGGTAGTTTTTCGTTGTTCGCCGGTACCCACCCTTTCAGAAACTGCACTTGGTAGCCGCTGCACAAGGCACCTCTTCGCGAACATCTCTCTGCAGGAGCTCCAAAGATAAATATACAGCCGTGCATTCGGGACACTTGCAAGCCAGCCAAGGACTATGTGAGCCAGCTGCAGAAAAATGGTGGGGCAGAGCACGGATGTCAAAGCTGCAGACTTGCCGAACACTGGCTGACTGGGCTTCGCACCGTGATAGGTGTCGACTCGCCAGGTCGCCTTGTGCGAACCGGTTGAACGAACGGCCGAAGAACCCCCCCCCCCCACATGAAGAATCAACTTTACCATTTACAATTATCGCCGCTTCGCAACGACAGCAATCTGAGCTTACTGCATGCTACGAACATCCCCTCACTGGTCTTCGTCGTCAGGTGGGATTCAAACGGATTGAATGCAAACTGCTCGCTTTGCCCTGCGGTGGCAAAAGCTCAGGGTTTTGGGTCCAGCTGCTGCCGCTAGCATGTGTAGCACATAGGTGGCGCAATGCTTTTGGAATGTGCTTTGTGCACATTTCTTTACTGACGTGTGGGCCTGTAACCGGCGGCAACAACATCACCCAGGCGCCGCCAAACAGCCACCTGCACAGCCCAGGGACATCTCGAGACTGATTCAATTGTTGGCTCGTTTACCTGTTCGATCCTGCCCCTGGTGGTACTACGAAAACTCTGCTTGGCACTGGCACAAGCATGCAAGAACCACAACACAACTATCGGACGACCGGTGACACAGGTGCAGTAGCGCGTTGGAAACAAGATCGACGATGAGCACGACGAGGACAGCCAAGGAGTGGCAGGAGCAGATGTGTCGGCAGCTAGTGAGCCCGCAGCGGACCTGGATGATGCCGTCACGTGGAGCTGTGAAGGCATAGAATTCCACCCCCTGGCGCGTGATAACACGCGTAGTTATGTCTGACGGAAAGCGGGCAGCTATGGCAGGTACTGGCTGCATTTCTCAGACCAGAGTTCGTCAGCGATCGGGCCTGCAATTTCACTAAGCGAGCGCCGGCAAGAGCGCGGGTAAACCCAACGAAGACGAAGCTGGCTGGCTGCCTCAAGGCTGAGCGAGAATCCCTAATGCCTAAACCCTAAACCCCAAACCCTAGTAGATCACCACAAGGCTCCGGCCTCGCCACCGCCCGTCGCAGGACCTGCGCGGCTCAATTCTAAGGCAGGGGCCAAGTAAGGGGGCTTTCATGGACTTCACGTGGGGTTTAGGGTTTAGGGTTTAGGGTTTTTAGGGTTTAGGGTTTAGGCTTTAGGGTTAGGGGTTTAGGGTTAGGGGTTTAGGGTTTAGGGTTTAGGGTTTAGGGTTTAGGGTTTAGGCTTTAGGCTTTAGGCTTTAGGGTTAGGGGTTTCGGGTTAGGGGTTTAGGGTTTAGGGTGGGGGAGCCCCGGGCACCTCTAGCTTGCTGCCGTCGGCCCCATTGTACACGTGAATCAGCGCCACCTTCAAGATCTTCATGATAACATGTTGTGGCACATGGAGTTCGAAGAGGTCTAAGCAGGTTCTGGGCGATTTGCGAGCTAGACTGCTCAAGGACACAGGGATGCTCAGAGCCCAACCGGCGGATGCAGAGATCGCCTAGCAGAGGTCAGAGAAGGCAAATCTCACCGGAGAGCACAGCTGGAGTCGCAGAAGCAAGTCAAGCTGCGGTTGTGACAGCAAAGTGCCCTTCGAGCGGTGGGTCTTTTCTTCCACACTCAGCTCTTCTCATCGCGCTTCATGCGTCTCAGCTCAGTTGCTTGTGGCCTCCCGCGAAAGTTCACAAACCTGGGCTTGACAGCAATGTGGCCAGTCGCTCCAACAAGAGGGAGCTGCAGGTAAACTGGCGCAGCACAGCAGTTCCCGCAAACAGGTTTCTGCCAGACCTGTCTTGATACCTCTCTCTCTCTGGCTTCGGCTTTAATAGCCGACGGGCACTGCAAAGGTGATCTCGTCACCTTTTTTGAAGTGCCTGGATTCAATACAGGCCCATGGCCCAAGACAAAAGACAAGGAAGCCAAGATCAATGTGGAAGCATCTCCCACACTGGCCCTGCCTTCTCTGGCTGTCGTGCAGGAACACGCCGTCTTGGCCCGGAAACTTGAGTCGGACCTGTACACAGCGTTGGGCGGGGCTGTTTTGATTGCTTCAACTTGTTGCTTTTAAACCCCACACTGTCCAAACAAAGAGGGGCCCCTACAGCTGAAACAGGAACCGTTGTCACATTGAACAAGTGCTACTTTCCGGGCAGGGCGAATCGAGGCGTAATCGGTCATCCCGAGGCTTTCAACAGGTCGTTCCACAAGGTTCGTCTACAGAGCGAACCATGGACCTCATTGCTTTTCAACATCAGGCCTCCTCGCATTCAATTAAGCCGTGGCCCTTCGAATCCCACCACAGTCGAATCTTGCCTGCACAGTGGTGGCATGACGTGCAGAGGCACCTCACATCCGGAAACTTGCGTGGTAACAGGTTGGGTCTGGCACCTTCAAACCGTTTGTCGGTGATGCCGGGAATCCTCAGAGTGCCGAAGCCACAATGTGCTCTGCAGCATGCGCTCATGATGGCCGAACACCCCATCCACATGCAGCTCATCTGCCATGATTCATGACATGTTCGGCTAGGCTGGGGCATAGCTGCAGACTGGGTCAGGTGAAGCAAGTTGCCGAAGCAATTCCAAGGAGGCAAGGGTCTGCTCGGCATCCGGAGGGCGGTAATTTGGGTGGCCGACCGTCGAGGACGGGCCTGAGAAACTGAGGAAACTTCCGGCATCTCACGGGTGGGAATCTCAGTAAGAGATGGGGCAAGGGGGGCTGCCGATCGAAGGAGCTTGGGGCTTTTGGTTGCATCCGGGCACTGCGAAAGTTTTCTCCCGGTGAGATTCCGGATGTGCAGGGCTAGGCCGGGTCGAAGGCCCAGTGCAAGATCGTAAAAACCACCAAGAAGCCTGATGTTGTGGCATTTACAACCCACCAAAAGCAAAAGAAAAACGGAACTCAATTGCGAACCCCACCTCAAGTAGAAACCCAAACCCACGGGCTCCTTTTGCAAGAGGCTTCTACGGTGAGATCTTTGGGTCACCCCAAGGCATTGAATCAAGGCGGAGGGCCGAGCCTCAAACTGTCCCATCCCTACATGCCCACCCACGCCCTGGCCTGGAGGAATATCCACCTCCTGAAGAGCAGGCGCGAGGCAATGAAAAATTATTGGGCTCTCCTTGGGGAAGCTGAAGTAGCAAGTAGCCTTGGGGCAGTAAAGGCAACTCGTACTAGTCGTCGTCGTAGTAGTAGTAGTAGTAGGTGTAGTAGGTGTAGGACGTGTAGTAGGTGCAGTTGGTGTGGTACGACAACTACACCGCCTACTACACCTACTACACCTCCTACTACGCCTACTACTGCACCTTCTGCACCTGCTACACCTACACAGCTACTACACCTCCACACCGCTCCTCCTCGTCCTCCTCGGCATGCGGGGTCGCACCCATGAGGGTCATGGGGTCGAAGCTGGGCACCGAAGGCACGCCAGGTACCGCAGGCACTCCAGGTACACTGGGCACGGTGCCCATCATGTTGAACCTCGCATTTCAGTGAGACTGCAGAAGTCCATGCAGAGTTCGGGATCTGGGAGATCAGCCATGTATCTGTTGTTCGGGAAGGAAGCTATAGGGCCGACTCATGGCCTAAGGGCATTTGGCCTGCTTCTTGAGGGTTTGGTGGGAGGGGAGAAGCTGATTCATATGGAAATCACTGGGCCGGATGTGCCCACTTATGTGAGCTTCAAGACGCTGCGTTCTTGCAGTGTCGAGAAACATGTTGCCCATCATCATCCCCATGCCGACCATCCTCAGCACCCGCAAACAGCCTGGGAACTGCACGTGAGGCATCATGAGGCATATGCCAATCCTAAGTGCTAAAGGTGCAGGGCGAGGCGCTGCTGCATCTGCTGCATCTGCATCATTTGCATCTGCTGCATCTGCAGCATGGGGTTCACCATGCACGGTCCAGTTGGGCATTGGCCCATGCCTTGGCAACATTTTGACAGGGCTCTGCATGGGCTTTGCTCTGACAGGGACTTGGTCAAAAAAGTTTTTGGCCAGGATACAGGGTCCGCAGGGTGAACACGGCGCCACTGAACCACCCGGCAGCACACCAGGACCACCAGCAGTGCCATTCGCAGGGGCTGGACAGGCAGAAACCTGGATCTTCGCCTCGCAAGGCAAGCCCAAGAGCCTAAGAGCCCACGGCCATGCCCCAGCGCACTGCCCGCACGAACAGTCCGATGCCCGGACCTCTGCGCCTTCGGGAGCATCGCCCGCAAAGGCCTTCAGCTGGGGCAAGATGGAAGATGCCAGAAGATGCACGCAGATACATTTGGCACCAGCCCCAAGCCTCCACGGTGCCTTTGCCACCTTCATGCGAAGAGCAAACACGAACAGGCTCACTACAGACGCTGTTGGCTCAGCAACTTGAGATTTAGTGGATCACCCCATGCACAGCACCCACATGTGCAAAGCTACACACCAGGCCCCAAGAGTACCTTTTCTCAGTCGTCTCTTGGCCAACTACGCCGCCTTGAGGGCTCCTGCTGCGTTCGCGGCTGCCGCAGCCACCGGCACCATGCCTTCGATGAAGAAGTGGTTTGGATTCATTGCTTTAAAGTGCCGTACCGACTGAGTAGTGTCTCTGTTTTCGGACCAGCCCTCTACAGAAACTGTCCCAATCTCCGCTTGCTTGTGAGGAGCCCCGGGCCCGGATCTGTGGCCATGGCTGCACGCAGGAAGCCAACTATGGAAGATGCATGATTTTACAACTGATGCTGACTTGCTAAGCTTTACTCCACGATGCTTACTTCCATTTCTAGACTTCTGGACCCACTGCATCAAGGGCGTGCATTCTGTGCTGATATGTTTGTCCATGTTGAAAGCAACGCCCATGTTGACGGCCGCTTGTGTCCTTCCATGTCCTTCCATGTCCTTCCATGTCCTTCCATGTCCTTCCATGTCCTTCCATGTCCTTCCATGTCCTTCCATGTCCTTCCATGTCCTTCCATGTCCTTCATGAAGCCCCTCATTTTTCACTGTCGGCATGGCAGAGACTCAAGCATCCTGTAGTAGCATGATTCACGCTCAAGCCCTGATGCAGGAGCTCACCAGCACCATCCACAGACTGCCTCCCTGCAGGCCGCCATCCCTCTCGTCGCCCAGCGCGGCAAAGACACTCACCTGGCGAGAATCGCATGTGGCGATCACGTGCATAACTACATGCAGAGCTTTGGAACGATGCCCTAAGCTTGACTTGTTTGCTCATGTCCTTTCCAGGGGTGACCTCGTCGACCGCGCTGACCTTCGCCGAGACAAGCAAGGGGCCTGAGTCCCATGCCAAGTTGTGCATGCGAACGCTCCTGCTGGGTTCAGGCATGAAGTGCTTGAACCCATGATTGCTGAAATCTCGTGAGAGCAAGAAGGCCAACACTTCCTCCGAGTCTTAAGCACCTTTGCACTGCCCTTGCCAGCGATTCATGCAAAGAGGAGCGATATCAAGCATGTCTCCGGGTCTGCGCAATCTCTCGGTCACCCCCTCCCCCCCCACAACTTGGTGAGACTTGCTGAAATCACCTCGCTCAGGCATTGACATGCCCGCTTTGCTTCGGCATTTGCGCGCTGGCACGTTAGGCTCTGGGGCGTAGGGTTACCTGGCTGCCTTCCTATGTTAAAGCTACTGAGATTCTGTGAGAAGCTTGATGGATGAACCAAGTCGCGCTGATGCAAGCTCTACAAGTCCATCCGCAGTCTCGTGTTCTAGCTCTGACAGTAAGAGTCTTGCTCCTTTTGTCTTGGGCACATTGAGACAAGCAAGCTACTCAACATTTCTGCTCATGGAGCATGGCCTCCCACATCCACAGTTCGGTTATGCAGCATGCCGGCTTACAGTCAACTGAAGCAGCTTTTTTCCATGGCTTTGCATGTCTAAGCGTAGGGGTGCCTGGGCTGCGCGATGTTTTGCGCAGCTCTCGCAGATGTCTCTCTGCATGTAAAACACAAAGGCGAGCTCACCTGAAAGCTCTTCGACGGAGCTGTACAGGTAGCTTCACGCAGCAAGTCAGGTGCATGAAAGCAAGCAGGGACACAGTTGAAAGACTTAGGCTCTCAAACCCATCAACCCGAATTCCTCCTCAACCCTGCACCCATCAAGCACCCATCAATGTGCACCTAGATCTGGCCGGGCTCTTGCTCGACACCTCCGGACTCAAGTCCAGACTCAAACCGGGCTTCCTCCTCCCCTTTCTCCTTCGCTGCTCGGGTTTCCCAGCCTGAGCAGTGCGGCGACTCGGGGGGGGGGTGACTGGGCTTAGGAACTTTTAGGGGAGTAGGGTCTGATTTCTGAAGGGCCAGGAATGGCCATTCAAAAGGGCAGTAGCCAAGGCAAGAGCTGTGGAGCTTGAGCCAGGTCTTGTGTTCTTTCAGGTATCGCTTCACCTGAGCAGAACGCCAGGGCAGGAGCTGCTTCCGGATACTATTTTTTAGAACTTACAAGATGGTATTCACTTGCAACCAAAAAAAAACTTCTCTCCGATCCTTGGGCCGGCACGTCCATGATGCTCCAGTCTGGGGGGTAACCCTTCATCTGCGCGGAGCCGGGCTCGTCACTCCCGGACCTTGCAGCCTGGTCGGGACACTTCGGCAGATACCATCGAAACGGATTCAGGGTTGAGGGCTTCAGGAGCCGCAGGAGCATCTGCTCGAGGGACACATCAGCAAGATGCGGCACTCTGACGCCGCTTCAAGATGCTTGTGAAGGTGGAGGGGCACACCGAACTGCGGGGAAATATGCCTCATAGTAGATCCCCTCCCCGAACCTCACCAGGTAAGATCAACATAACATGAAATGGTTGTCAGGTTTTCGAGGGGATGTTAAACCGTTTATACATTTACAGCCTCAACCTCTAAAACTTGAAGGACCATAAATCAGAGATGCAAGTCTGTTGGTTTCATTGATCAGTAAGAGGAGTTTGTGAAGGTTCTTGAATAGATACTTGCAAGTCACACTCATCCTCGGCGGCACAACTGGGACGGAATGGGCTTACCACTGCTCAAGAAATCAACCTAACTTAAGCCCGGATATTCACGCTGGTCCAGTGTGATTCTGAATTCGCATCTCGCTCGAACCAATCTTCGAAGTGCTGCCCCGAACCCTGTAACCGAAAACCTCCAAGCCTTCCACCCCAAACGCAGGCCTTCACAAAGGTGTTGTAGATGCTCGTCTCCTCTGCATCACTGGACATGGTTCGATGGCCTTGGCAAGACTTTGGGATGATTCGAACTTCGAGTTAGGGGAGTCAGATGGATTGGGATTTCGGACGATGTCACGAAGCACCAAGCTCCTCAACCCCACAAAAGATGTGCAAGTTAGCCTCGACTCCTCCACAAACGCCCAAGCCCAAGCGGCTCCAAGCCAGACACAGCAGCACCAGTGCCACAGCGTCGGAGTTCAGGGCATGCTCTGCCACCATGTCCTAGAGTCTAGTGTTCCTGCCTGCAGTCTAGAGTCTGGAGCTTAGGATTGCGGTTCAGGACGAACGTTTTAGGTCGCAGGATTTCGTCAAGTCGATGGTACCAACCAAGCAGCTGGAAAAACTCTTGCATCGCAAAACAGCATGCGCGCTGCGTTTGCTGCTGCCACCGTCCTCTTGACCCTCGTTGCTAGCTGCTCCGGATTTCTCCTTCCACAAGTCTGGACACCAGGCAACCTACCGAGTGGCGATCGTAGCAATCAGATGATCTCATGCCAACCGTACCCCAGTGCACGAACACTCGTGATGTCATGATGTAACACGACATTCTGCTTCCACGCAAGAAGTGGCATCGATGCCAGCGGACAAGCAAGGTCTTGAAAGTCTGACAGAAGCCCCACACATTCTCGGCAGTCTGTTAATGATGCGAAGTACACTCTATGATCCCTAGTCAGAACGTGTCAGGAAATGTCCTCGATGGTGCTTCTGTCCAGCTGAATCTGGGCGCCGTGACAGGTAATACAAGACCAGGTCCAGGTGGCTCAGTCGTAACATGTGTGAATATTACTGACCTCCCTGACACTAACGGAAGTGGAAGGCCATACAAACTTAAGGCCTTGAGGCAAATTCAAACTGGGTCAGGTATGTTTTTGGCCATTGTTGCACACAAGTCTGCGAAACTTTGCGCAAACTGGCCGTCAAGCACAGAGAGCAAAGCGACTAAGCTTACTGCACCCAAGTAGGGCCGGATGTCGTCCTGTTGCCACAAGCAGCGATTTCTGGAACTCTGAGGAAAGCGCGGCAGAGCTACTCACCGCCCCACCTCACGCAAATCGAAATTCTGCTGCTTCGCTGTTCCAACGTTTTGGCCTTCGTAGGACAACCTTTGTCGGCGATCGAACTCGTAGCGCTTCCATGCACAGAGTCTTATGCAGCCGAGCGGCGCTTGACCCTAAGGTGAGACACTCTTTACAAAGGCCTGCAACGCCTGTGGAAAGACAAATTTCCCGGCAATAGGGTCCCCCGGCTCACAAACAGAGGCTGCTTCTTGGTCTAAACTGCTTTGGTGGGAGGGTTATGCAGCAATGCACATCTACAAGGATGCAATTCGCCAGTAGGTAGCCGGCTTGATCTCGAGGAGAGCATTGGGAGTCTTCTGCCTGAGACAGCAAGGCAGCAAGAGACCGCGCACCCTCACAATTCTTTGGAAATACGTGCAGCTTCAAAAACCCTGAAGCTATATGCAGCCCCTGTAAGCCAAGGGGCATGGTTCGCTTGTTCCACACCGACAACGCAGGGTTGTCAGTGCTTATGGTTTGAACCCACCTGCACAAGACAACCTAAGCAGCATCAACACGAGCACTCGTTGGGCGATGAACGTGCCCTCACCACGACAGCTGGCACTCCGTCCCGAACCTCTCAGATTCAAGATCCAGTAGCATGTCATCATGTTCCGTGGTCTCATCGAAATCGATCTTGGCCTGCAGCGAAGTTTGATTCAATTTGAACTGAACTTTTCCACAGTTGCTGCACCGATTGCCGCACAGCCGTGGCCTGGGTGGCGATAGCGACGTGCATCACGAATGCATCGGAATCCTTGCAAGGCAACTTCTGTATCATGACATTGCATCATGCCGACATTATCACGACTTGGTGGGATGGCCGAACACTGCCATAGCCCCCTCGTTCGTGTAGACGCGCAGCAATGATTCCAACTCATGCGGAACTAACTTGGAACCGGACGGAAGGCATCACTCGACGTTTCCGCTTGTCCCTGCAGGCTTCTACAGGAAGTCGCGCGAAACAATTTTTGCAAGACAGCAGCCATGCGTGCAAAAACTCCTCCGAGAATCAGCCTCCCAGAATGCTAAGGCCTAGCAGCTAAGCTCCCGACGTCCATTGCAAGCCGCTGCAGACCATTTTCCACAACTGGATGCTAAGGAACCTGTGCATGTGTGCCGTATGCTTAAAACGTTCATTCCTTCTTTGATATCACAAATTTGCATTCATTTCCCCAATCGCTTATTTCATCTAGTTCTTTCGCTCGCTCATTTCATTCATGTCGTTCACTTCGTTAGTTCATTCACGCCATGAGTTTCATGCACTGATACTACTGCTTCTACTGCTACTCGTACTACTGCTTTTACTGCTACGTTAGTACTACGTGTACTGCTGCTGCTACTACTACTACTACTACTACTACTACTACTACTACTACTACTACTACTACTACTACTACTACTACTACTACTCCTACTACTCCTACTCCTACTCCTACTCCTACTCCTACTCCTACTACTCCTACTACTCCTACTACTACTACTACTACTACTACTACTACTACTACTACTACTACTACTACTACTACTACCAGTACCAGTACTAGTACTAGTACTGCTACTGCTGCTGCTGCTACTGCTACTGCTACTGCTACTACTACCGCTACTGCTACCGCTACTGCGACGACGACGACGACGATTTCCTTTACTATTTTGTTGTACTTCCAGTTTTGCCTTTACTTTTAACGCATTTTCGTGTTATGCAGCATGTCGTGTTTAGCCGCTACAAAGTTGAGAGGCAAACTTGTAAGCCAGGGGGTTTTTCAATCTCGTGGTTGAGGGTTCGCGGTTTTCAGCGTTTACAGGGTTGAGGGATGTCTTTAAGGGCTTACATCCTTCTGCAGTGTGTTGTAACAAAAGACGCAGGGGAATCATGACACGAAACACACGTTCAGCGGTCGTTCCAATCGGCCATACCAAATTCCATAACAGGGACGTGTAAAGAAACCAAGCCAAACCAGCCAAACCACTGTAACAACCAGCGCTTTCGGCATGGTGTTTTGGGCATGTACGACACGGCAGGAACGTTTCTCGGTCATGGTTGCTAGCAGAAGTTCCGGGGATGTGTAACGAACTTGCATTTCATACTCAAAGTCAGTTCCAACTGAATATTCATACAAGAACTGCCAGTGACAGTGACACAAGTCAAATCACGCGTCAACTACCATCTCAGGTCTGTGCTCGCCCGTCTTGGCACGGAGGATAGTGTCAAGCTTTTCCATGCGACCTTGTGCAGCATGCGCTTGTCACCCCTTTTTCTCTCAAGCTCAATATGACGGCACTAAAACAGCACCATGCTATCCCTGGTTCGATCGGCACAACACCCCCCCCCCCCTCCCCGCATGTGACAACTGCAGGCAGGGAGCCGAAATTGCAACAGTTTCGCAACAACCCTGCAGTAGGATCCTGTGATGGCTCGTGTGGGACCTCTCTGTCGGGCCCTATGCTTAGCTCCTCAGTGCCTCGCCCACAACTGCTGGTCGCGGCATCGTGCTGTTCTTGACCTCCATGACAAATCGCGGCACCTCCCACGCCCACGAGCACAGCCAACGCTGTCAGCTGCTACTTGAGAACTGCGCCGTTGACACCGCCCGTGATTCCCATAAACATTTTAGGCTCTTCGAGAACTGGCTGTGATCGAAGAGTCCGCTTCTGACTAAAATGCTTCCGACAGCATACGCTAGCCCGATCTTCGTCGGGTAACCCCCATCAACATCCCATCCACCGGCGTTCCTTGAATCACAGCCCCACAGGCCCCATGGGGCCTAAACCTAAAGAGAACAGCAACAAAGTGCAGAGTTCTACCAGTGTTCTACCAACCTTGACATGCAACGAAGAGCATCCTAATATCACCGCTAGCATACCGCACAACATCGACCAAGGCAGCATGATAAGATTCCGATGTACCGAGGGTAGAAAACTTTAAGACAACGGCCAAGCACTGCAAACTCGCTGGTGCAACATAACGAGGCAAACTCAACACAGTACCACCTTCGGGCCTTTGGCTGTCTGGGCTTGCCAAATCAAGCAGCATGATCTCTCAGCACTAGAAGAGACAAAGACAGCAGAATAGCAGCACGAGCTAAACGCGCTTTGCAATTAGTTGTCTGTGTTCGTTCTTCAAGGCGTCTGAAGAGCTACCCAAGCTTTGGGCTCACTCAGGAAACACAGAGAGAGAGAGACACACGTACACACACACGCACACACAGAGATGAACCAGGCTGAAAAGCAATTCATGCTCCCACAACACCAGGAGGCCACGTTCGGTGAAGGGAAGCGTGACGTTTGTCAAAGGTGTCTCTTTCCCTAAGGGTAAGCAGCAAAACAACATGCTTGAATCTTGGCAGTGACCACCGGCCCCACACATGCTAGCAATCTAAGGCCGGCGCATAGGGGCTATAAGAAACACCTGGCAAAGGCGCATGACTGGTTCGCAGTCTGCAATGCTGCGAAGCAAGCAATTCTACCAAGATCCGATTTGGCATGTGCGCTTAATAAACTTAAGGCTTATTGATCCAATTGCTCGTAGACGATCATGGAAGTATTGCTGAGCCCGGCGCTCCTGAGGACTGTGTACTCCAACTGGGCGTCAGCATGTGCTATGCATTCAGTCATGCCATGGTTCGCCACAACTTGCATCATCATTGAAACATGTCACCTTGCACAGCTGAGATTCACACACTTCTACATTGCATGGGTAGTGGACAGGAGAGTCTGCCCCTGAGGCCTTGAGGACCCGACAGGGCCTCCGCGATGATCAGACTCTTTGTAGTTGCGGACATTGCAGCCGGCAACCTGGCCGCAGCGAGGTCAGCTTCGTCTGAGCTGTGACAGTTGAGTTGTCGACACATTGACGTTCAGAGGTTTATGCCACACGTGCCGATACGGCGCGCAAGTCCTTTTCAGGACAAAGGCCTCTGGGCAGCAAAGGAGCTCGAGCCAGCCCAGATACAGCCTCACACAATGCGTGGTGTCTTACACCTTGAGGTACCTGTGTGGTGCTGACTGTCCAAATTTGTCTAACCACGTCAAAGCGCTTAGCATCCTACCACCCAAACTCTATGAGTCTCTTTCAAGCTGTCTGCAGTTGCATGGTATTCATGTCTTCGTGCAGGTTTATGGCTCACGTCAGTGCCTCTCGCTCATGTAATATTGACGGCCAGAGTTTGGAAGTGGCCGCCCGTAGATGAAGGAGGCCACCACCTGAGCTCGGATTCACGAAGACTTGTGGAACCTTTAGCATGCTCAGTAAGAGTGCCCTGGAGCATCCACGACCTGCAAGTAGGCCATAGTAGGTCACAAGGCAAAGGCAAGTATACTTTGGAAACACGCAAGCTATAGAATCCAAGGACACGGCTCCCATGGCGCCGACAGCGGTGCGGATGCTTGCTAGCCGTCGAGGTGTTGTTTGGCTGTTTCTCTGAGCCCTAAGTGTAAACAGAGTGCGTCTGATTCATGCGATGTCGCGTCGAAGGCAGCATGCCCGCCATGAGCATGTCTGGGGACCGCGGGCTTGGACTTGCAAACGCACGCCAAACGAAGCACTGGCCAATGCTGGACATGTGATCAGCACGTGTGCAGGGCAATGGGTTTGAGAAGCAGATCCAGATTCAATCCTAGTCAACACAACAATGTAGTCAACACAACAACGTAGTCAATCATGGAAGGGGCCTGTCTTCGCCTACTATAACCAACGCGAAATCCTTCACCCCAAAAACCTCATAGCACGGTCATCGTATTTTCTGTCTCGGTATGTCACGGAGAGATGTCAGATGGCAGTTCTGCGTCAAGAGACTCTGGTGCTGCGGACTCTGTGCCATCCTCCAGTGCCTAGGAAAGACTCGTTTCACGGCATGCGAGCAGACTTACCCACCAAGCCATTAAATCGTTCAGTTGCCACAACTACCGTACCCATGGCTGCACCGCCGCAGGGGCCAAAGGAAGATGCAAGCTGCGTAGTCTCTAAGAAGTCATCGGAACTGGCCAAGGGCCAACGGTGCAGCTAAGATACGCGGGTCAGGGCGGCCATGAAGGCCTGCGGATCCTGAAGTCAGCTGGTGCACACCATGTCACACACACACACACAAAGGCTTAAGCAACATCAAGCCTCGATGCAAAATCCCGTTGCCTGCGCCAGTTCGGCTGCTGGATGAGGGGGGCCAGGAGCCACGGAGCGGGTTGTCAGAGCGCCTGCTGCGGCATCCGCCTCCTCAGCGGAGGCCTTAGGTTTCATGAACCTCCCTGGTGAGGCGCACAAGCCCTCAAACTTGAAACCCTGAACTCCTGAACCCTTGAAGTTTTCAGCGTTCCCCCAAAGTTCCCAGCGTTTCCTAACATCCAACAGGTCCAAAAGCAAGGAGATGCGACTCAAGGGTCCACATCTCCCTTTGCGGCATTGAACCGGGCCAGCTTGGCCGCCTCGACGAGGACGTTGAGGCAGGCGCCGAAATACTTTGCGTCGCTTCGAGACACGAAGCAGAACTCGCAGAACCGCTCATCTTCTAACTCCAGTCCTGTGGCCCATGAACCCAAAGCAACTCAGTAGGAAAGATGTCGAGGTTAGAACGGGCGACAAGGGATCTTGATCTAAGGCAACCTCGAAGATTTCTGACACAAAAATTTACACCCACTTTCGTAGATACAAACAGTTGCCTTTGGTCTGCCACCAGCCGACGTTCATTGAGCTAGGGGGCATATTTCGGGGCATGGTGGCAGACATCCAAAATGCTGATGCAGGTCTAGAAGGTTCATGTTGAAATCTTGGCGATAAAGTTTTGCTCAGAAAAACGGCAACTGCAGACGACTTCGATGTAACTGCGAGGCCAAAGCACGTACGGCCCAGCAAGGCTCAAAGTCGTGGGATGCCTCCAACTGCTCCAATCTGCGAAACGGGCCAGGGTTCTTGTACACGGACACCTGGCGTATACTGCCTAGGAGGATGGTCTTTTCGACACCATTGAAGAGCAGCGTCAAAGTCTCCCAGGCCCGATCCAGCTTGGCATCTACGTCGAGGCCAACTCCGTCCAAGCTCAAGACGAGGCGTACTCCGCTGGCCATCTGCTCGACGAAGACCTGGCAGCCCGGATGCTATGGGGCTTCCATAGGGTGCCTGGAGGACAAGCTTTCATGAGGCTTGCCTACGATTAAGAGTCCTGTGATGTCTCATGCTTGACATGTCGAGGTGACGGATGACCACGATAACTGTCTGCCCGGCACCTGCATGGTTGGAAGCGAGTCGTCTTCATCCAACCTTGCTTCCTGAGCATGCGGCAAGATCAAAAGGACACAGGCGCACAAAAAACTCACAAAACAAAGCACGCGGCCAGATCAAAACGGACGTTCAGCGCACAAAACCGGCAAGAAGAGCGCAACAAAATGGCAGCAACGCCCTGCGACCCTGCGCTGCCCGGCCCGGCCCGGCCGCACAAATTCGCTAAGTCACGGAAGAAATTGTTGCCGTCACAACTGACATTACGCACACATGCACAAGCTTCCCGCTGAGTCACGGCAAACACTGTGGGAGACGACAATCGAGGAGCTTCCTCAACAGCAGGTCAACTCTGGAATGCGAGTTTAAGGAACTGGACAGCTCTAAGAGACGGCAGCTTGCATCCCTCACCTAACTCCGCCTGGCGTCTGGCTGCGCAGATGCGGGTTCAGATGATGCCGTGCATCGCAGCAGCCGAGATACACAATGAGAGCCTCACGGAATTGGAAGAGGCATGAAAATCCTTTGTTTCCGCACTCGGATGACGACTTCGCTTTTCCTGAGGTGCTATGTTGTTGTCCCCTGAACCACTGAATTCAATTCAAGACCAGCCTTCCCCTCCATCCGTTGGAGGACAGCCGCACTGTGGAAAGGGGCTTATCTGCCCCATAGCATTCTGCACGGGCGAGCGAGGCCGCACAAAATCACCTGCTACCACTTGCTGAATGCTGTAAGACTTGCACTCATAGCTGCCAAGCTCTGTGCTCTCCGAATGCTTTAAGGATCACTTGTTGCTTGTAACCTTTAGCAGGAGCTACAGTATCTAGCAACACGGCAACGGCCGCAAAGCGAAGCGAGTACTGGTATTGACTTAAGCAAGCTGCGATCCAGGCATCGGAGACGAGAGGGGAGCCAAGGGGATCCTACAGGGAGCAGCTTCGGGGCAAGAATGGTACAGTAACTCTCCGAATGATGAGAGCCGGTCTCTCATTCTTTTGCCTCGCACTTCGCAGTAGGCACCTGACGTGTGTTGTACGGTGGTGTGCTATCCTGTCTGGCTCTGGCACATTTTGCCAGCTACCGTAGGTGGTAGCACCATTTACCGGACCGGACATCTTCGGTTCATTTTGTGATCTTTGTAAGTTCTCAGAGAGGGGAAAGGGGGAAGGCGGGGGGGCGGGAAATGGCTGGTGCCAAGGCAAGGCACTGCAGCTGACACCGACACAACAACAAAGGCCAACAACTGCCAATGCCTTGCTTTAAACTAAATACTAGTGAGACTGTCGTCAGCTCCCGCCGGTGGCATGAAGCTGATCGAACATATGGCAAGACACGGACGATGCTGAATCATTTCAGGTCCAAGGATCCTGGATGGCATAGCAAAGATCAAATCCCAAGAAGTGCCACTGGGAGATCACACGTCGTTCCGGGGTCTACTCTACTCAAGCTCAAGCTCATCTTCATCCGTGAGGACTGCTTCATCATCGGTGTTCTCATCCGCTTGCACACGACTTCCCTTTGACTCCTTAGCAGCGATGCGCTTTTGAGACATGTTCGCAACTGCAGCAAGCGCTCAGAATCATGCAAATTGCTCTGATCCCAGCACTGCAGCTTGCCTTTGCCCGGGCGTGTCTGCTACAACGACACACGTGGGTGTCTTGCCAAGCGTCGACGTAGATTTGCTTGAACTTAGGTGTCGGGGCCCGTTCTCCTGAATTGCAGCATGGCTTCCAAAGATTCAGAGATCCTCCCATCGCCCTGTGAAATCAGACAGGGATGTACCGCCCTTCCGGATCTGACTGTGCAGCAGACTAGGCCTTCCCCACTTTGTTACACCATTCCTAATGCCACAACCTCGGGCGATCTGAAAGCCCCAGCTGCTGCATCACTTTCTGAAATCCATGCCGGGTCGCCCTGGTGGGTGCGATTGAGGAGATCACCGTCAGTGTGAACGACACCTACATCGGCCAAGGAGGCTGTCTCGCCTCCGGGTTGACCTTGGCTCTGCCTTCAGAGTCTCTGCATGTCTCTGTAATCGTTAAACCGAGATGTGGCGAAAGTTGCCAAGCGGATCATAAGAAAAATGAGAGGAGCAGGCATTCCAAGGCGGCCATGGTGTGCAGTGCCACGAGAGATGTAGACACTCACTCAATAATTACAATATTTGGTATTATATTCGCGATGATAGTAGTCATGATAATTAGGCAGCCCAACTATGGCCAAGAATCGCTTTTGCTGGGGAACCGCCCTGTCTTCTTCGTCTGACCTCGGCAAGCAAGGAGAGGAAATTCTGCTCTATTGAGGTGCTTTCACGCATGAGAATCAAGCAAGATGTCGCAGGAGGTTGCAGGTTCCGAGGCTCACGCAGCTCCGACCGTTCAGAGGAAGCGGATTCCGATGCAGGTTCTGCCTCGCCTAAGACAAGGTGCTGAGAAACGCAGAGGCCGAAACAGGTTTTGCAAGAGCCTGCGCATGGCTTCACACGTAACTCACCTTCTCCCTCGTCACCGTTCTCACTTGTCGCAGGACTTCCTTGTCTTGCTCGGAATTGCTCTGCAACCACGTTGCCGTCGCTGGACTCTGCTGACTCAACCTGAGCTTGGAGGCAAGGTTGTTTTCTGTCTCGGCTGGAACAGTGCTGCGCTGCAATGCAAGTCATTCAGGCAACGCTGCTCCATCGGAGCTTCGGATCAGGTGCTGATTGCATTGAAGCGGCCATGGCTGCCTTGCGAGTCTCCAGCCACTCCTCCTTGGCCATGACTCGTTGGACACCCGTCTCCATGTTGGCCAGCGTCACCCAGCCGTCCTGCCATCAGAGCCCCGAAAGGCTGCCAGTCTAGAAATGGGCCAACCAAGAACGGCTTCTCAAACAATGACTTCTGTTGCCGTGCATCTTCTGATTCGACTATTCTCTCAACCCTCAATGGCATTGCGAGGCAGTCCGGTTGATGGAGGCGAGCCCGCCTGACCAACAAGCCAATTGATCCCGATGCGGTTTCAGTCAGAACTGCTGCAGCGAACGCACGAAGTGAACGCTCTCAGCTATTCTACTGCGTCGCAAGGCGTCAATGTAGATCACCGTCTCAGCCAGCGGCACTCGCTTCTCCTCCTTGAGCTCCACGATTTCTACAGCGCGGACTTCTTGGCCTGTGCCGATCCCATGCTGCGGTATTTAGCTAGCACACCGATGAAGCCACCGGCCTTCTTCCAGCTCCTCTACCACCTCATCGTCATCCTCATCTCTTCCAAATGTTAGCTGCAAAACACAAGAACATGACATAAGTACTCACAATTTGTGTTCTTTTTCGTGGACCCTACGCGACCTGCACGGACTACGCGACAAGCAACAAAACTGCTCCTTCCTGCTTTCTGCAACTGAGTCACAGGATCAAAGGTCTTGGCATCACGTGCAACGAAAGCTGGCCGCAGCAAGATGTACCTTGTAACAGCACCCGTTGTGACAACCACGACCGTTCTTGCGGCGAAGAGGGAGCACAAGCTTTATTGATATTGAGCTTTGGAATGAGGAAGGTTTTCTCAAACAGCTCAGGGCAATTCCTTCATAAAGATACCCACTCTGAAGCATGAACAGGCAGGCATATGACAACACCTCTATTTCAACCTTTAAAGATCTGTCCGCCAGATTGTTCAAAGATACTCGCCCACATCGTAGGCCACTTTCGGCTTCTGATGCCTGCAGGAAGGCTGCGCCGTATGAGAAGCATAGGTCTCTGAGCAAGCACTAGGTGCCCCCCCTTACTAGGATCCTTTCTTAGAGGAGTCACATCTGTTCTAGCAGCAGTAGGCATCAAGACTGCTGCAATCGGAGTGCCCTGCAGACCAGCAACACGATGCAGCACCTATGGGTGGATCTTGAAAAAACATCTTGTCCAAGATGCCTGGACCGTTCATTAGCGTCCTCATCTGAGTAGAAGTCGTCCTCATTCTCACCTTAGTCTGAAGCGACAGGCTCCCTTGCCTTGTGGCATCTGAGGGTGCCCATTGGGTAGAGAATCCTATGGAAAATGGCCAGGCTTCGGCTACTGGCAGCTGTCAGAATCTGGGCTATACTATAGCTGCTATAGCAAAAACGCACAAACCTACCAGATCAGACTCAAAGAAAAACCAAATGAAATTCAAGAAACACCCCAACCAACCAACAAGATCCAACAAGCACATGCAAATGCTGCTTCATGGACTGATTCTCCGAAACGTTTACGTGGTTGCTGTTCTTGTGGGTGTCTATCGTGAGCCCCAGAGCATTTCCCGTCGCCCGAGTCTTGAACGACCAGAAAGTGCAAATCAAACACCACAGAACAAACGATTAAACAAACATTGAAAATCAAAAGTCTGGATATCATAACTGTATCCAGCAGGGTAACACCAAAGCTCCGCACTGCATGAACGTGCTGTGGTCAACGGCTTCATGGCTCAAGCCTTAAACTTCCGAGGGTCTTGCTCATGAGCAGTTGCCACTGCACACAAAGCATGCCCTTGTTTGCGCTGAACCGTGCTTCCCTTGCTGGACACGCAGGGGTCCTTGACCCGCGTGTACGTGCATGTGGAGGAGCCCGGACGCAAAACGTGACAGTAGCCGTCGCAAGCTCAACATCAGAAAAAGCGACTGAAAAGGGCATCCGAATAATGAACCGCCATCGTGTCATGTCGGCACATCTGAGGAGATCGCTTTCACCGTGATCGCCTACATCCGCCGGACCTTGGGGAGGCGTTCTCTCGTCAGAACCAAGTACATGCCCAGACAGCCCTGAATCGCCAACCACCATTTAGAAACGAATTTTTCACTTGGAGCGACATCTAGGCCACACTTCTGCAAGATAGCTGCGACGAACAGCTTCGGGATTCTACCGCAACTTGGTGTGGCAAGAGGTGGAAGTTGAAAGCTGACTCTGTTATGGGAAACACAGAGTAAACACAGAGAGTTGCGTCCAAGGTTCGGTATCGCGGCGACCTCCCTGCCTCGTCGTCTGACCTTTCTGCAAAGAATCAGCCCAATTCTACTGACCGATTAAGCATTACCAGCACTTTCAAGCAATGAAGCTTCAAGAAGTACTGCCATCGCACATGCATCGGACGAGGACAGCACAGCTCGGATTCCGTTGCGGATTCTGCATCGCCACCTGAGGCCGCCCCGAGGCTTTTTGCTCAATCGAAATGGTCGCACTGCCAATCAGAGGCTCAGCTGATCTCTCTCCCCACTCCCTTACCCTTACCCTTCCCCCCTGCATTAACGCATGTTTGTGACCGTTCGTTCTCTTCCTTTCTACTTTTTGGTGTTCTTCTTCACCTCATATTCTGGTTGTTCCGTCCAGTTCGGTAGTAACTCTGTGTATACTGTGGACCACAATACGCCACCAAGTCGCCAGACGCGGCCGACTCGGCCTTGGCTAAAAGAAGCTTAGCACACGAAGCTTGTCCCGTTCATCAAGACCTGGAGAACTTGAGAACGGATAGAGCACTGCAATGCTGCATTGTCTGTTCAATCATTCATTCATTTAGCGCTGTTGCTGACTGTGAGAGACGATGACTGCTTTGAAGTGACCATGCGGGTCTCCAGCCATTCCTCCTTGGCCATGACTCGTCGGATCCCCGTCTCCGTGTTGGCAAAGGTTACCCAGCCGTCCTGCCACAAGAGGCTGTCTCACCAGTCCCAACGTTGACAAATCTTGAACCAACCTACACAACATTATACACCATTCATGAACTCAGGCTCAGTTGCTCAAGGGATCTTAAAGGTGTCTATGGGCACGGCATGGCTTCTAAGTGCATAGGGGACAAGCTCTGCGCTGAACGCGCCCGGTCTCTCGCTCTCTTCTCTTCCTCCTCCTCTTGGAGGGGCCTTTGCAAAAGAGCACGAGCGCATCCTCCCTCCCTGTATCTTGCTTCCTCTGAGATTATGTTCTCCCTGCCAAGGTGAAGCCTCGTTTGCACTACGCGCTGTGCCATTGTCTAGAGAGCTGACCCCTCTATGGCGTTCTGAAAGCGGTCCGGCTCATGGAGGCGGGCCCGCCTGAGCGTTGTGTGACTCAGGTGAAAACTTGCTTGTTAATAGCTTGCCGCAGGGAAATCCTAGTCGGGCCTCATGCCTGCAGTACCTCGGAAGCTGCTCAGCTTCGGGACTACACGGATCAGCGTCGCACGAGCAGTATGATCTAGATCAGGATTCAGCCGGATCATGATGCACAGTAAGAGTCAGATATCCGCTATCTTGCGCCATGTGGTCTGATGTGGATCACAGGCGAAGCTTCTCAGCGCGGGACACTCGTTTCTCTTTCTTGAGCTCCACGATTTCTACAGCGCGGACTTCTTGGCCTCCAGGGTGGTCTTCGTAACGCCGTGCAGACACCATACTGAATTCCACTAAAGCGGGCCTGTCCGAAAGTATGACTTGTAGGTAGCCTTCTTGAGAGTTCTTAACAATCAGGGTCCTCAAAATGACACCCTAAAGCCTCAAGCGCATCCTCACATCTAAACCCAGAAACCCTTCTGAAAGCTGCGGACTTGAAACAACACCCCAGTGACAAGCTTCCGGGCCAGCCTTCCTCCAGCTCATCCACCACTTCGTCGTCATCCTCATCTCTTCGGTATATGCACAGTTGATCACAGCTGAGTTTCGGGCTTGTTGGGTCGATGATCATCACCGAAAGTATTTGCAACAGGCATTCTGCTGCACGCACCCACTTTGCATTGTGCCAATGGGCTGTTTCTGCAACTGAGCCACTGGATCAAAGGTCTTGGCATCACGGGCCACCAGGGCTGGACGCAGCAAGATGTACCTTGTGCGAAAACGGCAACGAAGACCACCGCAAGCGTCACAACAATCACTGCAACCAAGTACCACAACACAGACTCGAATGTGGCAGCAAGCGACGAACCACTGTTGCTGCTTAAGCTCCTCCTCCCGCATGTTCATGAAAGCACCCAACAGCACGTCAAAGGTTCCGAGGGCTGCTTTTGGGCCAAACCATTTACGAAACTCTCAATACACCAACTTGCTCCAAAGATGCTCACCCACGTCGTAGCCCAGCTTCTGGCGCCTGCAAAGCACGAAGTCCGACCAGCAAAGGTTCCACTCAAGGCCCGAAACTTGCCATGTACCCACTCCCCCCCCCCAAGGCCACCCTCCCAGTCTAACCCCCCAAAGACCGATGAGTACACCCTTTAGGCAAACAGACACAGCACCGAGGTGAGATCGACATCCGGAATACTGTGAGCAGATATCCTGGATCCCATTCGAGGTGCGGGGGGGGGGGGGGGTGGGCCAGCGGCTACCATATACACGTTTATGCATACATGTATGTGTATATGTAAACAATAGACACATGTGTATATATATATATATATACATGTATATATGTCTATTTTTTGTAGGGCGTAGGGTTGAAGTCGCAGTGTCTATTTTTTACAGGGTTTAGAGTTCAGGGTTAGAGATTTAGGGTTTAGGGTATTGCCCAATGATTGTGACGAGTGTGTGGGTGTGGGTAGGGGGTTCGGGGTACGGGGTACGGGGGGGGGGGGTTTATGTAGGGCGGGAGAATGAGATGCCGTGGGTTTACATGGTCGGAAGGCTCGGCGTTTTGAGCTCCAACTTGGTCATGTCCATCCTAGGCTCCCGCGTGGCATCCCTGGATGACAGGCGGACATCGAAGGCGTGGAGTCACAGCGAAGGCCCGTTGGCTCTTCTCACGCCACAAATAAAGCCTAAAGCAAACTCTACAGGGGAAGCCGCTGCTACCTGACGGTTGCCGTCAGGCGTCAGCTGCATCAGTCTGAATCCGAATCTGAGTCTGAGCCCTCTCCATCGGAGTCCTTGGAGATGCGTGAGCCCTAAACCCTAAACCCTAAACCCCAAACCCCAAACCCCAACCCCCAAACCCTAAACCCCAAACCCCAAACCCTAAACCCTGAACCTAAACCCTAAACTCTACACCCCATTGGGGAGTCCTGGGAGGCATGCGAAATGCAAGCCAGGCAGACGCAACGCGGGTCGCGGCACGAGGTGCGGAAGGCCACTTTGGGAAGCTGCCTCAGGGCTTAGGGCTTAGGGTTTAGGGTTTAGGGTTTAGGGTTTAGGGTTTAGGGTTTAGGGTTTAGGGTTTAGGGTTTAGGGTTTAGGGTTTAGGGTTTAGGGTTTAGGGTTTAGGGGTTTAGGGTTTAGGGTTTAGGTTCGTTGGAGCTGCATCAGCTTTTCGAAGGTGGTGTCCGCGGCGAAGGTGAAAGCCAAGACGCCTGCAAGGCGCTGCTACTGCTTCACCTTTAACCCTACAAGCCCTACAAGCCCCACAAGCCCTACAAACCCTACAAGCCCTACAAACCCTACAAATTTTATATCCAGAAACCCAGAAACTCAGAGCCAATCTCGCCAACGCACCAACCCAGTGACCCTATACCCCGAAGTCCAAGAGTCGGTTCAAATACGTGACGGACTCCTCCTCCTCACCCGGCTTGATCATCCTGAGGATAGCTTCTTCCCTAAACCCCAAGGCCTAAGCCCGTCTAGCCCCCAAACCTTGCAGCTTTACACCCAACATCCATCCTGTGGGTCGCTTCGTTGTACTCGTCGAGTGATCCGTGCCAAAGCGAACACTTCGTTTCCAGAATGGGGTCGTAGTTCCTGTCCGTGTTTGAAGCCACGGTCTCCAACACTTCTCGTATCTGACCCTCGTGAATGAAGAAGTCCCAGGCGCGGGGGCGCACATGCTGAAGCCACTTGTCCACGGCCTGCTTGACCTGGCGGCTGCTTCGCATGAAATCACCGAAGCCTTGAGCGCTGTACCTAGGCATCCCCTTCTAGCCCTCAAGCCTATACCACAAAGCCTCACCACTAATCCCTGAACCCGAAATGCTAGACCGTAAACCCCAAGCTTCGCCAGAAACCCGCAACCCCCACCTCTTCCTCCGAGCGGGGATGGAGCTCGGGAAGGGGCTGTAGGTCCTCATGAGGGAATTTCAGGTTCAGGGGCTCGGGGTTTAGGATTCGGATGCCAGTCAAATACAACGTACGTCCTAAATCTAAACCCTATGCCGCCTATGCCTCCTGCGCCCGGAGCCCTACACTTGAGCGACCCAAACTCCGGACATCATGTCCTCAAGGGTATCTAGCGAGCCCTTCGGCTCCTTCGGCTCCGGGGTTTAGGGTCTGGACGGGTCTGGGCTCCTGTGGCTCCTTCGGCTTCGGCTTCTTTCTCAGCTTCGTAGTAGGTGTGCATGAGGTGGTGGGACTCCCGGATGTCAGGAGCTTCTTCAAGCCGAAGAAGCAAAGCACGCCTGTTTAGGGTGAGGGTTTTTAATGGTTTTTTAGGGTTTCGGGCTTGCAGCTTGGGGTTTCAAGGGTGAACGGATAAGGTGCCTGTGCCGGCAAGGCAGAACATGCAGGGCTGCGCAGCAATTCTGGCAGCCAGTAGTGTTGCAGTCGAGGTCGTCGCCCGAGCCTCGCCATCACTGGAGCTCTCCGTCTCTGCGTCCGAATTTGCCGTCTCGGTTGCTGGGCGGGCATCCGTCATGGCAATCAACCCTACACTCGACAGACGAGGGGATATCGGAAGAGTGGCCGCTTGAACCGAAGGTTTGCCGCAGATTAGTTTGCCAGGGCTCAGGGTGCCAGGGTTTAGGGCTCAGGGTTTGGGGTTGGGGTCGGGCTTTGCATTTGGGACTTGGGTTTAGGGGCGCAGCCCTCAACATCAAAAGCTATACTCACCTGAGACAACAGGAACCCTGGGCGCTGAACCCTGGACTTTTGACCCAAATTCCGACATGTAAAGTACAAGCGCAATGACGCACTCAGGGCCTTTGGGTTTTGAGTTTGGGTTTAGGTGGCCTCCTGAATCCAGGGATTATGGTTTGGGTCTAGAGTCTAGAGTCCAGCGTCTAGGATTTGGGAATTGCGTCTTAGGCGGACAAAGGAACCAGCTATGGGCTACGGGCCCTGTCAAAGAAATCAATTCTCTTTAATATCTACGTGCGTGTACCGACCCTTAAAAATCGGCCCGAACATCCTAACTAAGCGCTAGAAGCCACTGCGCTCCGGGCCGGGCCGAGGCTCTCTGACAGACCAGTATCGGACCAACTCGGATCCCTGAAAAAAGCATCGTGTCGTGCCTGGGTGGCTCGTCACCATGCTCGTCTTCAGAGTTGGAGCCATCCTCGTGGTCGCCTGGTCTTGCACCGAGCAAGCTTTATCACAGCGTGATATCTACACTGTGAGAAAGGGCTTGCTTACCCGAACATCTACCATGGCTGTGGCAGACACACATGCGCACCAGAAACTGGCATATGAGTTTCGTCATGCACAAAAGGGTCGTGTGCACCTTGGGCCTTCATTGCTGCGCCGCCCGACCCTTCCCAGTTCACATTGGTAGCATAGCTGGGCTCCTAATATTCCATGGCCGACACTACTGACGACAAGGACTGGCCTAGGAGCAAAGGATGAAGGAAGGCGCTGAATTGATGTAGTGGGGCCCTACGCACAATCAGCCGGAGATGAGGAAAACAAGCGTGGTCCACTACAAGCGAACGATTGAGTTGGACAGATGCCGGGATATGAGAATATCTCTACAACGCCACTGGTGACCAGGGACGAACAACGAAGGCAGCTGGCCAGGCGACGCTGGACACTGGCGGAGGTGGCAGGTGGCTGCGCTAAATGCGCCACTGGCTGAAGGACAGGGGCCGACTGCGTGAAGGCAAGCGTGAAGGAGCGGTGCATGGATGTCGAGGTCGCGCGGGATCATGAGCCAGTTCTTCAAAGTCCTGCAGTCAGGCAGGCTGCGGCTCATGGCTTCGACCGACTGGTGGCCCGGCTGACATCGGCTGACGGAAGTACAAGCGAAGCTGCCCCGAAACAGTGCCTGGACGTACATCGAGCTCAAGCTGGACGAGACTCTCCAGGAGGCGGCCCTTGCCTTACATGAGTGCCTGAAGCACGTGGAACGACTCCGAACCCGAACAAGAAAGGAGCACCGATCTGCCGCGAGGTGTGCGAGATGACGGGCCAAGGATGTGCAGCCAACGCCACCCAGTCAGCCCAACACTCCCCCAGCTTCTTGGACATGAAGAACGCCACGGAAGGTGAAGGGCCACAAGGAGAGGTGTCAAGATCTCTCTTGCATTCCCCTCGAGGAAATGAGTTTTGTGTTGTTCCACGATGCCGCCTGGGTCAAGGCTGGCACGGACGATGAAGCTCCGGAAGAGATGGCTGGCCAGAGAGTGGGGTCGCAGATCGGCTACCTGGTCCCGGCTGCACACTGGCAGACAATTGGTCACCATGCAAGTCCGATGAACATCCTCGCCTGGAAGTCGCACGCTGCGTGGACGCCATCCTCTAAAGGGCCAAGGAAGGCTCATGGACGTCACGACTGCAACAGCCTCTACGCCTTGGTGCATCGATGACTCGATGAGGTGCTCTAGACTGGTAACCGATCTGCCTTGCATCAAGCAGGTCTTCCGGAGGCGAAGGGATGGTGGCAGAGACAAAGAGGGAACGCGCCATGCCGACGACGATCGCTGATCCCATTTCACTGGGGCCCGAAGACTGTACAAAGTTGGGGAAGAACTTAACCTGCGCCAAAAGTATTTCCACTCTGGGATTAACTGTGGGATTCTGAGTCTAGGGCTGGGTGGGAACTCTCTGCAGGATTCCCTGCAAATTGTCTGGGGGCGCTCCAGGATTCTTCCAGGATTCTTTGGAGGATTTCAGAAACGCGGGCGAGGCGATTAGCTGACTTAAAATCCAACAACTCCATGAAGCGGGTGGGGAATAAGTCAGACGAATCATGAGAAGTCAACAACCTGGCTTGTCAGACCTTATCATATGTGTCAGATATGCTGTTGCAATTGACTGGATGCAAGCAAAATATCCCTGGATAATTTAATCCCGGATGCTCACTTTCTTAGTTTTTGTGTACAGGGCGAAAGGTTCCAAGTAAAAATGTGCTTGTTTTTTCAAGCCTCACACCCGGAAGAGATTGAATGCCAGGTCACCTTGGTCAGCGCGGCTGGGGGGATCGCCAACTTCGGAAGTTGTCTTGCCGGCGTCGCCAGACTCACCTCAGAAATGCCCCCCTTACGTCGGACAGAGCTGCGAAACACTTCACTTAGGAACCCTGCTGCTCAGGATCATTGCATGCGCGTTCGCAGGTGCTCATTTCCCACTACGAGTGTGGCAGTTCTGGCAGTCTGGACCCGAACACAACGCGATTACACGTGACGGCACGATGAGCCAGCGACCGAGAGGACTCAGTTTTCGAAACAGAAGGTTCACTGCTCCGTGGTCAGCAAACGCTGCCGTGCTCGAGCGTAACAAGTTTATACACTTTGCAGCCAAAGGTCGCTCATGCGCCAGGGATTCCCTATCATCTTCGCGTGCTGACCTTGCAGAAGCGGGGCATCTCTGGGTGTAGGGCTTCCTGTCGTTTTGAAGCTTGAGCCGCCTAGGCCATACCCATCGGGGCTCCTGCATTTCCGATTCTGCAGGGGAACCAGGTTCCGATGCAACGTCCTCACCTAAGCCAAGGAAGCCAGCGTGCTGTATCGTGGTGTTTATTGGCCATTTGGGTATTGGGAAATCTGGGGGGTAGGCAGTAGGCACTTCAGGGATACTGTGTGGCCCTGTGTGGGATTCTGTCTGTGTTCTCTGCTGGATATACCTCGGGATGCTTGAGGGCATGTTTGTGTAGTTTTCGGGCGACATTCTTTCCGGGATTCGCTGGGGGGGATGGCAAGTTGGAGATATTCTAGAGGAATCCTTGCGGCCAGTGCTCCAAGGACACTCGGCAGAATTTATCTGATGGCAGGCTCTCCAGGGATACTCTGAGACCTTCCCTGCTTGATTGTCTGTGGCATGAGGCAGATTTCTTAGCATGTACCCCAACACCTCCCACCCCTCGACCGGCCCTCCAGCCCTCCCGCCCTGACAAACCTGATGTGAGCCCTGAGTCCGAGCTTGATTTCTTTTTGCTTAAGTGGCCCAATAAGACATATCCAGGCTCACGGCAAGGATACTCAATAAATAAACTATCTGTTGGCTTCTCTAGGGGTGGGCATGCCAGGGATACCTTCTTGAAGAGCAGAAAATGAACATGCGACCATGAAGCCGGATGCCTCTGATTCAGCCTTGGCTGTGCAGCCAAGACTAAGACAGACAGAGTTGATGGCGCTGGGTTCAGTTCCTAGCGCCATTCTATTCGAGAAAGGGGGGCGGAATGGAGCAGATGGTCATGTAGTGCCCTGGGTGTCAAGTGCTGATTGCCTTGAAGCTGCCATGTGAGTCTCCAGCCACTCCTCCTTGGCCATGACCCGTTGGACACCAGTGTCCGTGTGGGCAAAGGTCACCCACCCGTCCTGGCAACATTGAAGCCACAAAGAGGTCATTTTGACACTGTCAGACTCGGAATCCCATTAGTGACTAGTGCCTTCTATCGACACTCCTGGATTTCTAGGCTCTCTCTCTCTCTCTCTCTCTCCACATTGCAAGGGCGGTCCGGCTGCTGGAGACGAGCCCGCCTTAATTTTTCGGAGGCAAGACTCCCCTCCCCCAAACTCATCCCACATTTCTCAAAGCCGAGAGAGGCGGCCAAGACTTACTACTGGTATACGAGGACGTCATACTTAGGTTTCCGGTTCGCAGCATGAGTTCCCCACAAATCAAATGAACCGTTCGCATGGTGTCAGACAGCGCGAGTGCCGTCGGAACTGCTGCAAGATGCAATATTGTAATGTCCCTTGCCAAAGAATGTGAAGCTTCTCGGCTCGCGACACTCGCTTCGCATCCTTGAGCTCCACAATTTCCACAGCACAGACTTCTCGGCCTGCAAACGGTCGCTGCTATACCGAATGAAGAAGCAAACAACTCAAGTCATGCTGGAGTCACCGGCCTTCCTCCAGCTCCTCAACCACCTCATCGTCATCCTCATGTCTCCGAACATAGACATACAAAAGAGTGCACGAGAGACCTTTATGCGCCAAGGATGGCTTGCACTGGCTTGCATGGGATGAAGCGCCAACCGGCACAACTGTCCAAGCCGATGTTGCATTTGAGCCGCAGGATCGTAGGTCTCGGCATCGCGTGCAACGAAAGCTGGCCGAAGCAATATGTACCTTGGCGCTGCCGCGCAGCGATGACAGCAACAACAATAAAGACAAAGGTCCAGAAGAGAAACAGACGAGAACAGAAGACATGCCAAGGTCGTATGCGTTGCACTAGGCCAAGCCAGCACTTCTGGCTGAACAGAAGACAATGACAAGCACGGCGACTGCATTGCAAAACCTCCAGTGCTAAATCGTTCCAAAGATACTCGCCCACATCGTAGGCCATCTTCTGACGCCTGCAAGAACCATTGTTTCGACAAATGTCAAACAGGGGTTCCCTACTGTACTCGACTTAACCGAAACCGCGGGATGGTGCCATCGTCTCATGTGCTAACCGATGCTCTCGCCTAGGTCTTTCGTGGTCGGAATCGTGCTCCGGCCAAAGCCCCACGCGCATTCTACACATTTAACGAGGCAAACAACCCTAAACCCCGAACCCCTGAACCCCATCTTTCCTTTTTTCCGTTTGGGAGGGGGAGGTGGGTGGACGGGGTAGGGGCTGATTCGAATCGATATGCTGGGTGGGATCTAGGATCCCTGAACAGCATCTTGTCGACGATGCCTGGGTCGCTCATTGCCGTCCTCATCTTCAGAGTAGGAGTCATACTCGTCGTCGCCTGGTTCTGAGGTGGGCAGAGGTTACAAGGTGCGCCTGAAATAGATGCCATACAACATGCTGCAACTGCATTGAGGCTGTCCAAACTTCCCTTGACTGCACACGGCCTTCGAGCACAATCTTACACATGTTACGCACAAAAACACACATAGAATTCTCCTTCTGTGCTTCACTGTTCCAGTTTTTTAGTTAGAGGCCTTAAATCGAACTTGCTCTCGATAAGCCGCCCTGGAAACAACATATCGCTCTCGTTGCCTTCTGAGGCATCTCAATCTCTTTTATGAGTTTATCATCAAAACCAAAACAGCGCAACCTCCATTCATTCTTAATGCTTCTAATAATTTGCAACGCACTGACTAGTGATGATGTTGCAGGCACACCCATATGATCAACACATCCTGTGGCATTCCCTTGGCAATGCACACTCTACATATATACATGCATATACATATACATGCATGCACACACGCACGCACAGATGTAGACATACAGACTGTCAGATGCACATCGCATGTTTGTGTAGAGCTGGAATATGAGTAAGAAGAGTAGGATTGATTTCCTGAATGCCTGTACTGTAGGCCGAGTATATCCCAGCAACTATCCTGCTCTGCGTGCGGTATTTGCCAGACTTCAACTCGACAGAGAGCCGGCGAGTCCTTGAAGCAGCCGGTCAATGGCTGCCGATGCTCCCAGCCGAATACTGCGTCAGACAACTGGCTGGTGAGAATCTGGACTCTAGCTCTGCGCCAACTATGGTGGGCTGTAGGCGCCGCAGTGCTGCGCAGCAAGAGGCTCCACAGGACAGCTTTGGACGCACATGCTTCTCGCGGCCAGCGGGATAAGTAGCCGTCAGTCACAATCCTGCGAGGCTGTGCCACCACGGCGGCATGCCTGTGAAATGTATCTACGCTTTGCACATGTTTCCACACCGGCCACGTATCCCGCTCTCCACAAATTCAACACCACAAGCCACCTGAAGACAGCATCTGTGCAAGACTTGAGCCGCGTCACCCTGGTCGGCGTGATCGCGAACGTCGGAGTCCGCCAAGGAAGCTGCCTTGCCTCTGTCTCCAGACTCACCTCATGTCACAAGTGACCCTTACACGTCGCAGTCTCTGATGCCCCGACAGTGCCCCCTGTGTCGCAGATCACGTCAGTGGAACCCTCCATAGCCCTCCTCTACTGGAATTCAACCCTCTGGTGAAGGCATGCGCATGCGCTGTCCTCAGACATGTGGGCAGCTTGTGTCCATGAAGCAAGTTCTGACGGAAGGTTTCTAGACTCGAGTTCGACATGATTGCATGTCATGAGTCGGTTAAAACAGTCACGTCGAAGGTCCACAACTCAACCATCAGAGGCAACGATGCACGAAATTTGCCGCCGAGGCTCGCTTGTGCCGCGGAGTTTCTCCATCTTCGTCGGCTGACCTTGGGGAAACAAGCTTTTCAGTCCGAAATAGCGGGGTTCCTGGTGTTCTTCAACTCGAGTCAACGACCCTCGCGGTGTTTCCTGTGGGCCTTGACACCCTCGTGATGGTGCCATGCGCATTTTCAAAGGGTGTCCCAAACTGCATCGATAGAATGTTTGCAACGAACTCCTGTCGAGGTCTCGTGCACATTCCTTTCTCGAAATCGCTCTCCTGCCCAGGTCCGGCGCACATCTTCACTCCGAAGCGCAAGGCCAATGGTGCTGTCGCCTTGGTCCCGCGCGCATGCGCGTCGCGCACGGCAAAACCGGCCCTGAAGCGCTCCTGAAGTGATCTTGGAGTACTTTTGGAATGCATTTTCATGCATTTTCGGGCCATCTTGGCGTGCTCTTGGAGTGCTCAGGGGCTCTAGGGAAAGTGGCCTTGCCCTGTTTTCTGGGCGCACGCCGGCATAATGAGGCATTCGAATCGCAGCTACTTGTAGCCGCCATTGCCACCACGCACGTGTGATGACGTGTGCCTGTTTGAGGCTCACGCTGATCGGATTCTGCAGGGGAGCCGCGTTCCGACGCAAACTCTGCCTCGCCACCTGAGCTGAAGCGTCAGTGATGTCAACGCGTCGATGCCAAACTAGATTCGACATAACCTTACTTTTCGCGAAAGGCTCGTGGCATCTCCACTCTGCCTTTCATCACTTCCGAGCCGTTCTGTAGCCTCCTGCTTCACTCAGCCAAGCTTACAAGAACATGAAGTGCGACCACGATGCCGGGTGCGCGTGACTCGGCCTTGGCTAAGCGGGCCAAGCTTGCCGGCTAGCTTGGTGAATGCCTGGCTTTTGTTCTCGTGTCTGCTTGTTGGGCTCCATTGGGTCAGGTAGGTGCTGCCTTGAAGCTTCCATGGTCTTCAGCCACTCCTCCTTGGCCATGACTCTTCGGACATTCGACTCCATGTGGACCAAGGTCACCCAGCCGTCCTTCGCCCGGCATGGGATCGCTCTCTGGCTCTCATTCTCTCTCCCTCTCTCACAACGTTGCACGGTCCGGCTCATGGAGGCGAGCTCGCCTGAGCTGTGTGCACAATGCCAGCAGCTGTGTTGCGAAAAAAGGCTCTTTTTGATTGCCTTTCTGAGCAACATCATTGGAAAGACTCAGGCCACATGATTGAAGGACATCACGAAAGCTCAGCTTGAATGCCCTAAGAGCCTAAGAGTGTCTCAACATGCCTTCACGCAGATCTGAAAATGTTAGAATTAGAGGGACTTTATGTTTCGGGAGGGCGCTTTCTTCTCTTTCTTATTTTGTAGCGCCCGTACAATTACTAATAAAATTACAGCTTTTTCTTCTCTTCGTTCACTGCGGTGCGTGCGTCGTTCACAAGTTCACTTCTTACCACCTTCATTCACTAGTTGTAATATTAGTAAAGGTGGTAAAGGGCCTTTTTCGGACACCTTTTTTTGCCTCAAATGGGTACCCCCCCTGGCAAACCGGGGTCCGCAAGCGGACGGACCCCCACCCCTTTTCCCGCTAGCCTGCCGACCCCCCCCACCCCTCCCCCCCTTCCCCCTGCCCCCCCCCCCCCTTTGAGGAGCCTGGCTCAACCCTACCCCAAAAAAACCCCAAAGCTTGAGCCCCAAGCCCTCAATCCTAAACTAACCCTCAACCCTAAACCCCAAACCATACAATAAACCCGGAACCCTAAACCCTAAACCCAACCCTTATTGCTTGGGGTCCAGCGACTTGGGCGCTGTGGAATCACCATGCTCACGCGGATGCGCTGGGCCGGGCCGAGGCGGGTCGCGTAGCGTTAAAATTAAGAGCCCCTTTAACACACTACTTTCCTCGCTTGTTCATTCGGCTCACTCATTCACTTAAAAAGGCCAAAAGGGAAAAATGATAAGGCCTTTTTAGTTCATTCCTTTCACCTTCATTTCCAAGTCTATGAATCATCAACTGACCAGCGTGGTACAGAAATAGTATGCGCCCACGAGCCCAAACAGCCCACAGGCTTGTCTTTTCTGAGGTAGTTGTGTGCTGCTGGCCATTCTTGGCCCAGTTGCATTTACCTGACACTACCTTGTATTCTCCGGAGCGCAGGCGCGCGGACCGAAAGGCAAAGGGCCCTTGCGATGCTAGTGATGATGCAGATAAGTGCAGAAGTATGCCCACATCAAATCATGGCAGAACCTTCTCGGGTCCCGACACTCGCTTGTCTTCCTTGAGCTCCACGATCTCCACAGCACGGACTTCTTGGCCTGCAAAGGCGCTCATACTGCTCCGTACTGTGAAACAACCCATTCATGCATCCACTGGCCTTCCTCCAGCACCTCGATCACCTCGTCGTCGTCCTCGTCTCTTCCATGTCAGATGCAACTACGGAATAGCCATGTTGTCAAGACGATTTCTGCTGCTGTTCTAATTCTACAGTCCGAGTCGATGCTGCAACCGAGGTGCAGGATCGAAGGTCTCGGCATCGCGCGCAACGAAAGCTGGCCGCAGCAATATGTACCTAGTGCGGCGACGGCGACGGCGACGGCGACGGCGAGGACGAGGACGAGGACGAGGACGAGGACGAGGACGAGGACGAGGACGAGGACGAGGACGAGGACGAGGACGACCATCACCGCAACCACAGAATCAAATACTACTTCTCCGCTCATATTCCTAATGGTCCTCCTGCTGCTGCTGCTGCTGCTGCTGCTGCTGCTGCTGCTGCTGCTGCTGCTGCTGCTGCTGCTGCTGCTGCTGCTGCTGCTGACGCAGCTTCTTAGGACGAATTGAACAAGAATATTCAAATTCACGAAGGGACGACATGATGCCTGGGCTGGGAAGGTGATGCTTGGAATAGCACCGCTTCGAGTGCGGTACTTCAACACGTGTCACGACACCGAAACTTATACGTCAGGATCTGCCATTTTCTTTCAAAGGAACTCGCCCACATCGTAGGCCATCTTCTGGCGCCTGCAGGAAGTGCCAGGAAGTGGCAACACCCTGTCTGTGTAGTTTGCCGCAGATTTGTTTGCAGCACCAGTTTGCAGCTCAAGAGGATTGCTGAGTTGACAACTGGTCACATTTCCAGCGTAGCAAGTACGATGACAGCTGCAACACGGAGAATGTATACATTCAACTACTGGAGAATGGCTCCAGATATGCCTGGGCCGCTCATTGCCATCTTCGTCTTCGGACAAGGGATCGTCGTCGCTACCACCAGCGTCACCTGCTTGGTGCCCGCCCGAAGGCAACCCACGCGGGCAAAAGGCAGCTCCCCCCCCCAGTAGATGTCCCTCATTGTTGTACAAGGCAACCCACGCGTGGAAAAGGCGCACCGGAGGACGACGAGAAGGGGCCACGCAGCCAAGCCCACTAAGGGCCGCCAACAACCAGCTAGAGACACCATCGAGAACGAGGAGCCCGAGAAGGGATCGAGGAGAGCGGAACAAGGGACAGAGCGAAGCGAAGAAAGCGAGGGGACGACAGGGGACAGGCTCGAAGACCTTTTCCTAAGGGGGATACAACAAACATGAACGTGGGACTCTCCTAGATACAAGAGTGCATGAAAGTCGGATTATTGGAGTCATTGGTTCTCACTTTCTGCACGTCCCGTATCATTCTGCTGGTCAAGTTCCGCATGAAGCGGAAACACAACATGTCCTGTTCGTTGCATATCCGTACCGACCCAGCCATAGACCGATGTGCCATAACTTCTCCCCAATTCCGACAGCCGCTGGTGCACGAAGTGTGCGGGCAAGGATCGCTCGTGCCACGGGCTTTCCCCATCTTCGTCGGCTGACCTTGGAGGCAAGCATCCTCTTCAATCCAGCAGTTCAGCACTTCCCCCGTGTGTTTTGAAGAACTGCCATCATGCACGTGTGCTTGCGTGTGCATCCCTTTGAGGCTCACACTGTTCGGATTCTGCAGGGGAGCCACGTTCCGACGCAGACCCCACCTCGCCACCTGAGCTGAGGTGGCAGAGGAGGTGACGTCAAAGCATCGCTGCCATAGCAGCTTCTACATATTATCTCTACTTTTCTCGCAAGGCTCGTTGCATCTCCGTTCTGCCTTTCATCACTTCTGAGCTGTTCCGTATCTCTCGTGTCTCGGTGGTGAAAGCCCACAAAGTGCGTCCACGTCGCCAGGTGCGCGGGACTCAGCCTTGGCTTACCAGGCTTAGCAGCATTCGCGACATGGGAAATAGACGGGGTACATTTGTATGGGTCTAGGATGGTCTAGGGTACATGTGGGATTGTATGGGTCTAGGATGGCCTAAGGCCTAGAGGCCTAGGTTTGATAAGCCGTCTCCAGCGGATTCGAGAAAAGGGAGCATTGGACCTAGATTCGACAAAACAGGGACAAACGAAAAATAATCCAAAGCAAAACAAAGCAACAGAAACAACTCATAAACCGCTAAATCCCCCCCCCAACAGATGGGGAGCCATTGCCTTGCTCATGTCTATTTGCTGATATTCTTAGTATGCTCGTGTCAGGTGCTGATTGCCTTGAAGCGACCATGTGGGTCTCGAGCCACTCCTCCTTGGCCACAGCTCGTCGAACGCCCGTCGCCGTGTTGACTAGGGTCACCCAACCGTCCTCTCAGCGGAGCCAGTGCAGAGGCGTCGAGCAGACTCCGTCGAGCAGACTCGGAGTCCAAGCACTAACATACTGACGCCTCTTGAGACCCCTTTCCAATTCCACAAGTGACAGGCCACGCCCACAAAGAAGAATGTAGGCATGCCTGAAAGGTATAGTCACAGGTGACCCACTCTGCAAATTCACAGTCGTCACCAATTCCCAGACCGGTCCGGTTGATGCAAGCGAGCCCGCCTAAGTTGTGTGTGGCAGCAAGCCCTCTATGTACCTACAGTCCACAAAGCCCATGGGCAAGGACGTCCTTGTCCGGCATCATACTTGTGCTTCTAGATTCAGGCCCATGTTGCAAGCAGCTGAAAAACTCAAGACCGAGCGATTCTAATTCCTGGCGTCAAACTGGAACCTTTCTGCGATCTGCATGGCGCAAGCCTAAGTGCCCTTGCGACGCAAGTGATGATGCAGATACATGCAGCAGCATGTCAATCACGGCAGAACCTTCTCAGGTCCCAACACTCGCTTGACTTCCTTGAGCTCCACGATCTCCACAGCACAGACTTCTTGGCCTGCAACGTCGTTCACAATGCCAGCTCCGTACTGAAGTTGCTGAAGTTGCTGAAGTTGCTGAAGTTGCTGAATGGTGCAGCAACCCATTCCTGCAGCCACTGGCCTTCCTCCAGTACCTCGATCACCTCGTCATCGTCCTCGTCTCTTCCACGTCAAGAAGTCGATTTCTGCTACAAGTACTACACTACTTCGACATGCATCAACCCTTTGCCAAAAAAACACTGGCATGAAGAATGCCGCAGCAAGCGAAAACATCCGTTTCTGCACATGCCTCCGTATCGAACCGATGCTGCAACTGAGCTGCAGGATCGAAGGTCTCGGCATCGTGCGCAACATAAGCTGGCTGCGTCAATATGTACCTTATGCCACGACAACCACCACCACGTCCTCCACCAAAACATCAAACAACATGACGTTCATCCATCACGAGCAGCAGCAGCAGCAGCAGCCGCCGCCGCCGCAGTACTAGTAGCAGTACTTGTCATAGCCATCGTTGTCGTTGTAGTTGTAGTTGTGATTGTAGTAGTAGTAGCAGTAGTAGCAGCAGCAGCAGCAGTAGTAGTAGCAGTAGTAGTAGTAGTAGTAGTAGTAGTAACTTAGTAGTAGTAGTAGTAGTAGTAGTAGTAGTAGTAGTAGTAGTAGTAGTAGTAGTAGTAGTAGTAGTAGTACTAGTACTAGTACTAGTACTCGTACTAGTACTAGTACTAGTACTAGTAGAAATAGAAGTAGAAGTAGTAGTAGAAGTAGTAGTAGTAGTAGTAGTAGTAGTAGGAATCACAGTAGCAGTAGCAGTAGCAGTAGCAGTAGCAGTAGCAGTAGCAGTAGCAGTAGCAGTCGCAGTAGTAGTAGCAGTAGTAGCAGCAGCAGCAGCAGCAGTAGTAGTAGTAGTAGTCGTAGTCGTAGTAGTAGTAGTAGTAGTAGTAGTAGTAGTAGTAGTAGTAGTAGTAGTAGTAGTAGTAGTAGTAGTAACTTAGTAGTAACTGAGTAGTAACTTAGTATCAACTTAGTAGTAACTTACCAGTAATTTAGTAGTAACTTAGTAGTAGTAGTAGTAGTAGCAGTAGTCGTAGTAATAGTAGTAGTAATAGTAGTAGTAGTAGTAGTAGTAGTAGTAGTAGCAATAGTAACTTAATAGTAGAAGTAGTAGTAGTAGTAGTAGTAGTAGTAGTAGTAGTAGTAGTAATAGTAACTTAGTAGTAGAAGTGGTAGTAGTAGTAGTAGTAGTAGTAGTAGTAGTAGTAGTAGTAGTAGTAGTAATAGTAGTAGTAGTAGTAGTAGTAGTAGTAGTAACTTAGTAGTAGTAGTAGTAGTAGTAGTAGTAGTAGTAGTAGTAGTAGTAGTAGTAGTAGTAGTAACTTAATAGTAGTAGTAACTTAATAGTCGTAGTAGTAGTAGTAGCAGCAGTAGTAGTAGTAGTAACTTAGTAGTAACGTAGTAGTAGTAGTATTAGTAGTAGTAGTAGTAGTAGTAGTAGTAGTAGAAGTAGTAGTAGTAGTAGTAGTAGTAGTAGTAACTTAGTAACTTAGTAGTAGTACTACTACTAAGTTGATGAGGCTCATAAACTTATCTAACTCATTACCTCATCATGTCTCTCTGTCCTTTTGTCAGTATTTCTTCACCTCCTCATCCACACTTCTCACCTTATCTTCTCTTGTCCTTACCTCGTCTTCACACCTGCCTGGTGCTCTGTTTTCTACCTCATCCTACATGGGCAAATCAGGTCAGAAGCCACGACTTGGGCCCCGTTGCTTTCTACCTCCTCCTGGCCCTCTTCTGTTTGGGAAACAAACCTTATCATGCCGATTTCGGTGTTTACAAACACCAAACGGAGAGCCTTTTCCACACCACCCAGGAGGTAGGCCCCAAGGCGCGTTACCTATTTGTATACCGCGGGTTCCCCTTCCATTTTCGGGGCTAGTCCATTCGGCAGGTGAGTTGTTACACACTCCTTAGCGGATTTCGACTTCCATGACCACCGTCCTGCTGTCAAAATGAACCAACACCCTTTGTGGTATCTGATGAGCGTGCAATTAAGCACCTTAGCCCGACGTTAGGTTCATCCCTCATCGCGGAGGCCTATCGCGGTCTTCTCTCGGACGACTTTTTTGTCTTCATGATGGTGTGTCGTTGGCCACGTGCATGTACTGTACATTAAAAAAAAGCTGTGAATTCATAACGGAGCTGTTCGTGGCATAGGCTCAGCGGCGCTTGTGGACTGTCTTCTGCAGTCTCTTGGACAGCGAACTGCTGCGGTAATGCTTCAGACTGGTGCCGTCGCTGTGACCATGAGGTGTAAAACCCAAACCTGGTGGGCATGCTGGAGCTCGGGGTCCGTGAACAGGTGTGCTTCGGCTGCTGCACGGATGCCTGTTGCGGAAGTCGTCGTAGGCGATGGCCAAAAACGGTGCCCGCTCACCAAGGCCTGCACGTGCGGGAGGGTGCAGGTCCGGGCCGTCATCTGTGTACCCTGTGGCCCGCTGCAGGTCCAAGAAGTTGTTGGCCATAAAGTTGTTGAAGCCAACGGACCATTCTTGGCTCAGGTACTTGCGGGACACGAAGAACTCCCGGGAGAGCCGGGCGCTCTTGGCTGTCTTAGTTGGGGCGATGCCTTGGGGAGCGAAAAAATAGCAGCCTTGCTCGTCGTCCCAGAAGAGAGTTCGCTGGAGCACCTTAACACAACAAGATAAGGTGAAAAGTTCAAATAGATAAGGTGAAAAAGAAAAGAAGGAGGTGCAGAACTTGGAAATTATAAGGTTAAAAACCCAGGTGCCAGCTTGTGGATGGTGCCCACTCGCTCCGTGGTCTGGGCACTGAAGAGGAAACCCAAGTGGTACGCATGCAGTTTGGCGAGGCGGCCCTTCATGTACCTCACCCGGTTCTCAGGAGTGTCGCTGGGAAGCTTGGCGATGTACTTCTCCAAGTTCTTGATCTTCTGGACGTACTTGGGCAAGGCCTGTGTGCAAAAAATTAAACCTCTGAAACACCAGTATTCTCACCCTCGAACTTCAAATGCCCTAACCCCGATGCCTCCGCCAGTTCCTTGAAGGTCATGGGAGGCTTGCCAGGGAGCTTGCCTGGCGGGGCCAGATTCTGCCCCTCGATTGCCCTCTTCTCGGCGCTGCTTTTCGCCAGGTTCCTGACGAAGTTGGCCATGTGCTTGCTCTGTTTGCGGTTGGTCTTTGTGGTGCCACGGAGGAACTTGGGAAGCAACACCTGCATCACCACCGCCAAGGACCTCCCCTGCAAGCTGATGTTGCCCGGTTTGTGCTTCTGCTTGCGCACGCTCAGACCCTAGCAAAAAAGATGAAGTGAAGAAGCCTAGAGAATAGGTGAAAAACCCAAAACAAACACAGACATTTCCAACCTTATCTACTTGGAATGGGGTCCTGCTCCAGGAGAACAAAGTAGGCCTTCAGCAGCTCCTTATTACACAAAGTTCCTGCGGCGTCGGCTTTAACGACGCCTGGCTGGCCCTCGACGTCTGTGGTGACCAGCATCTCGGGAATCGTTTTACTGGCCCACCCGAGCAGCTGCCGATACACGCACCAGTGCATCTTCGCCGTTGCTTCGCCGCAAACCCTTTTTCGCGGGGAACCCTGGGCCTTGGTCTTCATCACGGTGTCGAAAAAATAGTCTTTGACACCCGGGTCGATGTCGGCTTCATCCTGGACGTACTTGGCCTTTGTCGCTCCTGCTCCCGGCCGTCGCTGGCTGAGGTCATAGCCTTCTTTCTTGTTCTTCTTCTTGCTGTGTCCTGCTCAAAGATTAGGTGAAGAAGCCCAGAGAGTAAGGTGAAGAACATAGAAACGCATGCAAATTTCGAACCTTATGTACTTAGAATAGGTCAAGACCCCTCCTCCAGGTCCAGCTTTGGTGGCCAGTGGTACCACGGCATCGTAGCGCCAATCCTACACCCACACACACATGGCCAACAGTAAGGTGAAAAAGCAAAAAGCGAGTTCGCCTACACTAAACCATGAGGTGAAAAGACATGACCTCATCGGTAATATTGGCCTAAGGGCTTGGATGTTGCATATTTCCAGCACCGTGTCTGGATTCGAGTCGAACCAGGGCACGATGACTTCCTGGCTAAGGCAATAGTCCCTCTGCTGCATGTCCACGTAGATCGAGAACACGCGGATGCCCACCTCCAAGTAATCTGACATTGCCTGGAGTGTGATGTGGTCACCCCAGGTTCCATCCACGAGAACACCGGAGACATAGCTTGCCCAGTCCCCCTCGGCTTCCGTCAGGTAGACCTTGTAGAACTCCGCCCTGCTCACAAGCTGTCGGTAGGTTTGGACGCGGAGGTCGAGGATGTTCTCGGCTACCTCCACCTTCTTGGAGAGTCCTGCGGCTAGCACGGCCCTGTACTGGCAGTTCCCGTCGCCTGCCACCACTCTCCGCTTTTTGCTGACCAGGGCCAGCAGGCGATCCACTTCCTGCTCTACATTAATCGTCTTAGATCACCTTGTCCTAATCGGCCCCTCCTTTATAACCTTCTCCTGGACAACCCTCTTTTTAATAACCTTATCCCAACCAGCTTTCTCCTAAGCAACTCTCCTGAATGACCTTCTCCTGAGCAGCCCTCCTAAATATATAACCTTCTCGCCAGTCTGTCCTGGTACTGCCCGAGGAGCTCCTCGTGCTCCTCCTGGCTTTGGGCAATCGCCCATGCCACCATGTCGTCCTCGGTCATTCCCATGACCTGGGAGCTGATTATATTCACCAGCTTGGTTAATTTGAAAACACGTCGACTAATGCAATCCCAGAAGCATTGGCCAGGCTTTGGGAGGACATGCTTTGCGACAAATGTGGATCGGGCGGGCTGATGCTATTTTGCTTTGGGCACAGACATGCGGTTTCTGACCTTACCAAGCAGATAAGCTGAAAACAAATCTTCTCTTTTCACCTTATCAAGCGTATAAGGTTAACACTAACATGGATGATGGTCAAAGAATGGACTGACCTAGCTAGATACCCTCGACTAGTGAGCATACGCACTGACCCCCAGACGGCTGCTAGGTGCTCTAGACCCAGGTGTCCTACAGCCCATGTGAGTCAGTCCATTGTTTACCCACCACCCTGGGTTAGGTATCTGTATGCCAGTCCTGAAGTGGTTATGCAGGCAGAATCAGGTTCAAAATCTGCATCTCACTTTGCAAATGCCAACCTCATCATTCGAAGACGAGGTGATAGAGTGCAATGTATATTTCCCTTTTTACCTTATCTTGAAGTCTTGAAGTGGTTATGCAGGCCGAATAAGGTTCAAAATCTGCATCTCACTTTGCAAATGCCAACCTCATCATTCGAAGACGAGGTGATAGAGTGCAATGTACATTGTACATTTTTCACCTTATCTTCACAACAAAAGTTCTTCAACAGCAGCTTCTCTGCCTCAAGAAGAAGCCAGGAAGTAGATGACCAATAGTTGCGCGCCCACACACCTTCCTAATATAATTTTAATTGTTTACAATTGGGTCTTTTCAAGGCCGCCGCCCCTGTAATTATAGTATTACTTACAATAAAAAATGCGCAGCAATGTGCTTGAATTAGTTTTGGAATGCCAAACGGCCAACATAAATTTAACGAAATTCATACCATAATGCTTTAAATTAAAACTCCTCTTTGAGGGGCTCTGCCCCGCCCCATTAAATTAATTTTATTAATTAAATGGCATTAATTAATTAAATCAATAAAATTAATTTTATTATAATTAATTAAATATAATTTAATTTGTTTAATTAATTTAGTGAATTTAATTAATTTAATGAATTTAATGAATTTAATTAATTTAATTAATTTAATTAATTATTAAATTAATTGATTTAATTATTTAATTAATTTAATTAATTTAATTATTTAATTAACTTTAATTAATTTAATTAATTTAATTAATTTTAATTAATTTAAAATTAATTTAATTAATTTAATTAATTTAATTTAATTTAATTCATAAGTAATTTAATTAATTAATTAAATTTAATTAATTTAATTAATTAATTTAATTAATTTAATTAATTGAATTTAATTAATTTAATTAATTAAATTAATTTAATTTTAATTAATTTAATTAATTTAATTAATTAAATTAATTAAATTAATTTAATTAATTTAATTGAATTATTTGAAGTAATTAAATTAATTGAATTAATTGAATCAATTTAATTAAAATTATTTAATTGATTTCATTACTTTCTCTGTGGTTTGGCGAGCAGAATCAGGTTCAAAATCTGTGTCTCATCTCGCAACTACCAACCTCATCATTCAGAGATGAGGTGGTAGAATGTATTCTACATTGGTTATTTTCATCTTACCTGAGAAAATAAGGTTGAAAAACGCTTGAAAAGTCTTCACCTCAGCATTCTGAAGTGGAAGTTGACCAGGCATTTGTGCCTTTATCATTGGGGACCTGTAAAGACAAAGGAATGCAGCAAGGCAGCATTTTCACTTGCTAGATGGATAAGGTTCATATGAAGGGTAAGATAAGGTGATGATGTTCATGATAAGGTACAAAAGTCAGCTAAATTTGAACCTCATCCAACCCATGTGGCAGGTACAAATTGCATCATGACCTCCTCCTTCTTTGTTCTCGTAGAAGAACCCATGTAAATGATGAGGTCGAGAATGCAGCAAGGCAGCATTTTTCACCTTTTACATGGATAAGGTTCATATGAAGGGTAAGATAAGGTGATGATGTTAATGATAAGGTACAAAAGTCAGGTAACTTTGAGCCTCACCCAGGCCATCTGGCATGTGCAAATTGCATCATCACCTCCTCCTTCTCTGGCCACATAGAAGACCCCATGCAAAGGATGAGGTCGAAAATAAGAGGGCATTTCTGCCTTTATCATTGTGAGCCGCCTGAAAAGAGTAAGGTGAAGACAAGAACAGAATATTCGCCTCCTACTACTAGTAGTAGTAGTAGTAATAGTAGTAGTAGCAGCAGCAGCAGTAGTAGTAGTAGTAGTAGTAGTAGTAGCAGTAATAGTTGTAATAGTAGTAGTAATAGTAGTAGTAGTAGTAGTAGTAGTAGTAGTAGTAGTAGTAATAGTAGTAGTAGTAATAGTAGTAGTAGTAGTAGTAGTAGTAGTAGTCGTAGTAGTAGTAGTAGTAGTAGTAGTAGTAGTAGTAGTAGTAGTAGTAGTAGTAGTAGTAGTAGTAGTAGTAGTAGTAACTTAGTAACTCAGCAGTAGTGTTTTCAAAGTCTGTCCAAGCTTGCACCCCCAAGCACTCCCGAACGAGCTCCTACCAGGCTACTTGCTAAGCTTCATGAACCAAAAGCCCTGAAATCCAAGACGGGCCGACATGCCCAAAGCAAAAGCACCCAAAAGCTGAAGAAGCCCAACGCCCAAAGTACTCAAAGATCAAGAATCCCAAGTGCAAGAAACATCCTGACCACATCCCAAAGGTGAAGAACTCAAATCCCCAAAGCCCCTAAGCTGAAGTTGCAGTTGTCGTTGTAGTTGTGGTTGTAGTTTCTGCTGTAGCTGCAGTGGTAGTTGTTGTCGTAGTTAGCGGTGCGGTCGTTTGTTGTTGTTGCTGCTGCGGCAGCTTTCGTCGTTGTAGTACGCGTCGTAAGTACGTATAGTACGTTTTAGTCTACTTATGTAGTATGTAGTACGCGTAACCGTACAGCACATATAGTACTAGTACGTAGGTCGCGTAATACCCTTATGTAGTCCGCAGGAACAGCGGCAGGAGCGGCAGGTGGCAGTGCTCGAATTTGAACACGTCAACGACGACACTCAGACTTCAAGACGTTTTACCCACTTGAAGCACAGACACATGCCCACATCGTAGGCCTTCCCCTGGCGCCTGCAGGAAATGGCTTCGCACAATCTGGAAGGATCAGGATGAAGCTTATCACGACATGACATGACTGCAAGTTGCGGAGGTAGCTGCACGGGAAGGACCCAGAAACGGCAGGATCCTAAACCTGAAATGCAACTTGCTGATGCTGTCTGGGCCTTTCATTGCCATCCTCGTCTTCAGAGTAGGAATCATACTCGTGGTCACCTAGTTCTAAGTTGTGTACCACACGGAATCTGAGGGTGAACTAGAGTCGTGTTTCCGTGTTGAGTGTTTCTTGGTTGAGGGAGAAAAATTCGTGTCTAGAGTCAAGTCCAGTCTAGAGGACGGACAAGAAAGTTCATGGGTAGTAAAACGTGGGGTTATAAGTCCCCTAATATGGGTTATAACTATAGTTACCTTACGCATAACCCCACTTATAACTCCCCATGAACCTCCAAGTAGAGCATGGGGCTTGGTGCTTCTGTGATGGGCTTGTAAACGAAAGGCACTGAAGCCTAGGTTCAGTTGTAAATTCCCGACTTTGAACCCAAAAATTCAAACTTCACACCTTTGGATTGGCTGGGATGTCGAAGGCCTTTTCAACCATGGACACCGCCTACAACCAAGCCACTGGACTCCCCTGATCTGCTTCGACTCGCACACTCGCTCGGCGTAGGCACAGCTTCATGAGGTCTGATTGCTACCGTTACTACCGTTATCTGAGGAGTGGAGGGCGGTAAGGACATTACTGTATGAATAGGCATTGGCATAAGAAGAACAGGTGCACCTGCTGACAGCTTCATAAATTGAACGACAAGAGGTGAATGATATTTGGCATTGATCTCCCTTTCTTGTCCTGTGACACACGAGGCAAACTGAAAATCTTCAGCATGAACTTAAAGTTACTTCTTTTCCTGCTAAATGCCGTGCTGAAGGTTCACGATGAATCAGCAAGAACAACACCCCATGGTCAGGTTGTGCCAAGGGTCGCTTTCTTGGAGAATCCAAGTCGTCTTCATCGACGGACCTTGCAAGCAAGGAAGCAATCAGCTCCATCCAGCCACTTCCAGTTGGTTATTTACCGTGTGAAGTTGTCATACTCTGTCCGAGGCTTGCACTGCCCAGACCCTGCACGAGAACCCGCTTCTTGTTCAGATTCTGCCCCACCTAGGCCCAGGGGCAAGGTGCTGACCGCCGCAGTCCTAACTCCACTCAACACGGACATTCACAACTTGAGCAGAACCCCTGTGGATGCTTGTGGGCTCCTGCACGGGCCTCCTGCAAAGCCCTGGCTACAAACATGAAACTCAGTGGGCGCCACGTGGTCCAAGCTCTCCCTGCAAAGGGTCTTGGGTTGCAGCTGGCAGAGTCATGCTCGACATCTTCGGGCTCGTCCGGCTCGTGGACTCCTCCTTCCTGACCTTGGCGAGCCAGGATGAGTTGCCGGATTCTGAGCTTAGATGCAAACGGCACACATTCCAGTACTTCCGGCGGTCGGTCCATGAGGTACCATGATTTTTGACGTCGTGAACTGATTGACTGACGACAATGATGAAAACGGCCGTGTCTAAGCTGCAAGGTTATGATCTCCGGATGAAGGGGCTTGCAACTGCCTCACAGCCAGAAAGCTCCGGTGCTGCCACTGAGTTGCCGCTGCTTAGGCAGCAACGCACTTTTCTTTATCTGACCATTTATGACACGAGGGATGCCTATTCTGGGCTGCGTCATGTATAGACAGGGCTTACGTTGTGCGAATTGGGCAGGCAAGGGATCCGATTCGCAGGTTTGGCCGGCGGCACTGGGGTCGAGCGTCTGATCCGATTGGTGCCTTTGTATGAGCCGATTGGATGATCCGACTCGGGGCACTGATACACACCCCGCTCACCTTGATGCTTGCTGCTTCCGGCCAACAGTTCTTTCAACACGCAAAGCTGCAACAAAGCTGCAGGAGACCCATCACCGCAAAAGGTGCGAAACACAGACGACAATGCTTGCCAGCATGGCTGGCTTGCTGCGTCTTGGGTCGCAGCTGGCAGAGTCATGCTCGACATCTTCGGGCTCGTCCGGCTCGTGGACTCCTCCTTCCTGACCTTGGCGAGCCAGCATGAGTTGCCGGATTCTGAGCTTAGGAGCAAACGGCACACCTTCCAGTACAGTACTTACGGACGCGGCCAAACTGGGGGACTCGCAGGCCACACACAAAGCAGCACCAAAAGCCAAGTCAGACCCAGACTTGCTGAAATCGGGAATCAATACAAGCTTATCCCACTATTGGTGGGTCCTGGGTTCTAAGAGCTTGAATGGCAAGGCAGGACGAGGCAGGCCTTTGAGTTTGGAGTGCGGGAAAGTTTTTTTTTGCCTCCAAAGCCAGCCCCAAATGCCCGAATCTTCATCTGCCATCTACCTCAATGTGTTTCTTGCTGCTTTGAGCTAGCTGCTCGCACATCCATCTTGTTGCCTCTAGGCTTTTGCGTGCTTGACTCCTTGAGACATGGGTACAAGGCATCTCTCTTTCTCTCCCCTTCGTGGCGTGTCCTGCTGATCCCTGCGCAAAGTGCGGCCACGTCGCCAGACATCGGTACTTCAGCCTCGGCTGCGGACGCCAAACTTGCTCTAGCTATCTTGGCTGGTGCGACGTGGTGGGGAAGAGACGGGGTCATTGCCTTGCTCATGGCATATGCTCGTGTCAGGTGCTGATTGCAATGAAGCGACCACGTGGGTCTCGAGCCACTCCTGCTTGGCCACAGCTCGTCGAACGCCCGTCGCCGTGTTGACTAAGGTCACCCAACCGTCCTGCCACCAGCCACAAACCCGTCTGGGCCCCAGCTCTACAGGCCAGGGCAAGATAGCCTGCCCAAAGACTTTCAGTGGCAGCACATGTCGCCATACAAGGATTGCCGACCCCCCAATGGCAGTGCATGTGCAGTCCGGCTCATGGAGGCGAGCCCGCCTGAGTTTTCTGCGGCAATTTCAGACAAACCATTTCTTGCAAGTGGAACTACTCAACGCGTGCGTGGTCTTCTGCCAGAGGCTTCTCAGCTTGCGACACTCGATTCTCTTCCGTCAGCTCCACGATTTCTACAGCGTAGACTTCTTGGCCTGCCAAGGCGCTTTCCAAAATGCCGCAGGATACACCAAACTGAAGTTCCACGATAAGCCTAGGCTGCAGCCACCGGCCTTCCTCCAGCACCTCTATCACCTCGTCGTCGTCCTCGTCTCTTGCGCCGGCCAGAAATGCAGAAGCAGCTTTAAGAGGCTTATTTCGCAACAGCCCTAGTACCAAAACTAGCTCCCATGGATACCGCCAGGGAAGCAGGGCAGCATTCTGGGACGTGTATCTGCATCGGGCCGATGCTTCAACTGAGCGGCAGGATCGAAGGTCTCGGCATCGTGTGCAACATAAGCTGGCTGCGTCAATATGTACCTTGTGCATCAGCCATGCAAGAGACCACTGCAAGGAGCGACCAGGATAGCTTCAGCCACAGCTTGCGCCAACTCCTACCACTGCTCCTCCTATTCCGTGCTTTTGTGAGGCAACAGCTGCAACAAGAACAACACCAGACACTCGTTCTTGCTCGGTGGAAATCTCTGTGGAATAATGATGAATAATTCCCCATAAAATGGTGGCATGTGACATCCATCAAACAGCTCCGAGCACATTCAGGCATGTTGTCACTTTAAGACGGTGAAGCTGTGACTGGAAGTCATGTAGGTGCAAGCAGGCTTCTGCAGCCTCTAACAGCTCATCACAACGAAATTCGTCCTGACTTGAAGATGTCTTACCCACTTCATCCACAGGCACTCGCCCACATCGTAGGCCATCCGGTGCCTACAAGTGGTCGCGCCCTATCTTTTGAGTTCAAAGCTTGGCCCCTTGTTCATTATTCCGCTTCATTCGTGCAAAGCGACCCTTGATTGCCGGCCACAGCTCCTGACTCTGGGCCACGAACGACCCTTGCAAGAGCAGCTCGTTCATGATGCCTGGGCCCGACATCACCATCTCCATCCCCTGGGTGGGCATCAGCCGCGTTGTCACCTGATTGTTGGAGAAGCGTCTGAATGCTGCTGGACGTGTGCTGAAAAAGCATGGTATTCAGATGGTGCTTGTTCAGCAGTCCCTTCTTTGGCCATGGCACATGATATGGCCAGCTAGCGAAAGCAAGTGCTTCTGTTGCGGCTTGTAGGTTTCCAAGTTTACCATTGATTGCCTACAAGAGAATCGCAATGAGAGTTCGGAGAGCCGTAGAGTATGTCAGCACCAGAGAATTTGCTGCTGGAACATACCCCGAGAACAAGGGCCGAGGTTTCTCAGAGTAACCTGAACTGCTTTTTTCGTCTGCACGCTGCTTGGCGTAGCCACCCGAAGGGGCTGGGGTATCAGGGTGAAACTTACAAACTCTGCACAGTGAGACTACCGGTACTAGCCCTCACTTCCCTCAGACATTTGTCGAAGCCGAAATCCATTCCCTCAGACCGTGGTCGAGGCCGAAATTCCCTCAGGTCATGCCGAGGCCGAATTGCCCTCACTTGCACCCCTCAGACCGGAGTCGAGGCCGAAACTCCCTCAGGCAGCACGCCGAGGCGGTATTCCTTGATTCGGTTTAGGTGCCTCTCAGACCACTAGCCATGTTTCTTGTCTGGGCTGCGCTGCTCACTCATCAGCTTCGTCATACGGCATGCCCAACGTGATTTTCTGGATCTCTGTTGCCGGGACCGGAAGTAGGGTTCCATCCCATCCTCGTTTTGCAATCCCGGCATCCAGTAGGTGCTGGGCAAAAGGCCCGACATTGCCTACGCACGCCATCCAAAGCGCGCTGGCTTTGCCGTCGTACGTTCTGACCAATCCACGTATGGTTGCCAGTAGCTCCTCGTCATATTTCTCCAGGCGGCGTACGAGGCCGCATGATAACTTGTATCTCTCCTCCTGCAGCGTCGACCACTCTGCCGTGTCAAAGAACACTGCCCGTGGTAGCGATCCTGACATCGGGTCGCGCCCAACGTTGCTTACCGTGATATCCGATAGAGCAACTCCTTGCATGGTCAGCCATGACGTTATAGCCACCAGGTAAAACAGGGACTGTCTGAGGACCCCGGCTTCTTGGCGATGTTCCTGCCACCATGTGTTGAACAGCTCTGCCCTGCGGATGATACTTCCATAGAAGTAGTGGTGGTAGTAACCCTCCACCGCCTCGTCGAAAAGGACTCCAATCCATCCTGCCCACAGGGTCCTGGTGACCAGGGTGGGGAATTGTTCCCCGTACCCTGCTTCGTTGCCAAAGCTCTGGGGTTCCATCGCTAGTTTCATGACCCATAGCCGATCCAGAGCATATCCTCGTCGAGTGCGCCCCGCACCTATAAAGGGAAGCACCCTAGGCTGTAAGCTTTGCCCTGTCGTTGGGTTGCGGACCAATTGGACCTCCCCAAGCCAGTGGAGCGCTGTCCTTGGCCTCTGCTGGTTCTGCAGCTTATGCACCAAAAGGTGCACAGGCTTGACTTGCCCCATTGCTTCCTTTTGCTCCTGTCCCTCAGCTTCGTGCGAGGCCATATTGTGGGCACCTGGTCCTTCCGCCAGCGTGACTGTGCGAGGCTGGCTTGCCTCTTGCTCTTCATTGACACCCTCAGCTTGGTGCGAGGCCGCACTGTCTTCTCCTCTCTCCCGTAGGCGTACCGGACCCACCGGAGATTCCGAAGCACTCTCCTCATCCCTATCCCAAGTCTGCTCCGGGTGTCTGGCCTGTCGAAGCGGGGAACGGTCTCGGGGCTGATCCTGCTGCTTGTTCTTGCTTTTACCCTTGCCTTTGTCCGGCCGATTCCTTAGCCAGGATGGCAGTCGGGACCCTTGTCTCCTCATCGTCGCATCCGTCTTCCATTGCCTCATTGCTACAGACCCGCCTTGTGCAATTTAGAAGCCCACAGTTGCTTCCGCTCTTCACTGAGGTAGGTCTCCGCTTGGTAGACCCAATCGTTCCTTGTGCGGCAGCGAGCGAGACTGCGACACGCCGCTTGTAGGTGAGTGTAGTTTGCCCTCCTGGGGTCTGTTTCCAGGAACTGCTCCTCCAAAATTGGTTTCCACGAATCCTCAAGTTTGATTCGCACCTGGAGGGTCAATTTCTCCGGCTGCTCGTCCTCCGGCCGGTCTTGTGAGGATGAGGACGCCGTTGTTCCACCCTCAGCTCTGCGAGGCCGAGGCCTCCTCTCTTTACCCTCAGCGATGTCGCAAGCACGCGGCACCGCGAGGCCGAATTACACTCCCTCAGCAAGGCGAGGCCGTAACACCAATCGCTATTCCCCGTTGCGAGGCCCTCACCCTCAGCTACGAGGCCGAAAACCCTGTCTCCTTGCACCAAACGGCTACGGAATTACTGCGTTCCCTCAGCTTGGCGAGGCCTAACAAACAATGACATCTTCTGCTGAGCACTGGCTAGGGGCTTAGCTTTGGCGTGTTTCCCACCAAACTGAACGCGAGGCTGTTGAAACTGGACGTTGCTCATACTTCCACCATTGACAAGGGTTTGCGCTTGGGTTGCCAGCTTGCCCTGAGAAGTCCGCGATTTGCACTCACCCGCCAGGCTTTTATTGCACTTCTGGCTGACCGGTGCATGTGTTCTGTCACACTTTGTGCAAACCCATCGGATTCCCAAATTCACCATATTATGGGAGGGGTGGATACCCCACTCTTCCCGCACTCGCGCCTCCGGCTGGTTGACGCAGTACTGCTCCAATACCACCTCCAAGTTCGTGAGGGTTTGTTGTACATACAACCCGCACAGTTGGCATTTCAGTGTTAAATTCCGGGGGTGTTCACTTCCCTTCTCCCATTGGTGCCCACGCTCCGGTTTTTCGAGCAACTGCCAAAGCCGCTGGCGTTTGTTGAGTTTGGCCCTGCCATGCTCTTTTTTGCATCCCTCAGCTTTCTGCGAGGCTTCCATCTTCTCCTTGTAATGCGCATGGTCCAGGATGAAGGGGAAATCTGCTTCGTTGCGCTTCCGCAATATGTGGGCTGCGCGTTCTCCGTAAGCCAGTGAAAGTGTACGCACCACATTGTCCAGCTCTTTGACACGTCTCTTGTGCGCTGGGCTGTAAGCAGCCGCCGCTACTTCGCCACATACTTTGTCCGCCATGTCGTTCGCTGCACGTCTCCACAACGTGCCCGGGCCCATTTTTGCCAGGAATGCTTCTTCTGTTTTGTGGGACGGGACCCATGTTGCTTTGATTCGTTTCTTTCCATTCCACACTTTGCTCCATTCCAGGTCATCGTCCGGCGGTTGTATTTTTTGTAGCGCTTGGACTGCCGGCTTGCAGTCCATTGTGACGTCAATCAGATCCTCCGTGTGCTCCATTAGTCTGAAAAGTGCACGGCGCTCCATGTCCACTACCGGCTGCCACGGGTAGACCAGCTCCGTAATTTGTCCGACTTTCACCAACTCACCATCTTTCCAGGTCATAGCCACCACTGCGAGGGCGGATGTTTGTACACGTGGGTCTATTCCTCCTGGACCTCCGCTGGCGTCAGTGGCGAAGATCAAGCCTTCTGCTTCCACTTTAGCGTCTGCTGCAAAGCATCCTTGGTAGCGCAGTCCCAAAAGATGCTCCGGCGGCTTTGGGTGCCACACCGCCGGCTTGGGCAGGAGTGCCCTTGTCCACAGACACTCCCATGGGTATTTGCGGCGCAGGTATTCCTGGAGCTTGGGTTCTTTGAACCCTTGGTCTCGCCAGTAAGGGCATTCTTTGAGGACATGCTCCAGAGTGGCTGGCACTTGGCACTTCTTGCACCAGCCAGGCTTGGACTCCGTGATGACGCCCGCATGCCACACTGACTTCATCCCTTCCATAAGGCCCGGGCTTAAGCCTCCCAGCTTCGTCAGCTTGTGATGCGGCGTCCAATCCAGCCCCTCCTGGGCCCCCTTTCCACCTGCCTGTCGCGTTATTGCAGCCCTTTTTTGTTCCTCGAGGAATCCCTCAAGCCATTTGTAGGCGAGGCCACCCATGCGTGGCTGGGTCCAATCGACGTTGAGGACATTTCCTCTCTTCCATTTGCCCGGGTCACTTGCATCCACCTTCAAATCCATTAAGTACGCCATGGTTGCTGCCATCGGTCCCGTGACCAGTGGCCAGTGGTGTTTGGCCGCACTTAACCTCCTCCAAGTGGCTTTCCAGGCCAATTCAAAGTGGGCTTTGCCTCCACCAATCCATGCGCTGAAAACTTTTGCCACCACCTTGAAATGCTGCTTGTGGATTGTGCGCTTCGGGTCCTGACATTTCTTGGCTCCCATATCCAGTATGGTTTCCAAACTACCAAGCTTGTATTTGCCCAGGTGTTTGCCCACCACTGTTCGGAGCCACTTCATTCTTTTGGGCGATACTCCCACGGATGGGTGCCCCCACAAAGCAACGGATGTGATCGCGGCCTTGACTACGCGGAGTTTAGTGCTGGGCGGCGGCCCCAGCCTGGACAGCTTGCTCTGTCGGGCATGTGCTTTTTTTGCCCGTGTGGCCGACGTCACCAAACGACGCTTTCGCCCACCGGTACTGTCGACGCCCAAGTCCCGCATCACGTCGTACACTTGTGGGTCATGCGGTAACAGTAGTTCTCGCAGGTGCTTGCTCGCCTGGGTACTGCTGGCTACAAACCCTGTCTTCTTGGATGAAATCGTGAACCCATTTGCGTCCATCCCGTCCTTTAAGCTGCGGTAGACTCGGATCGCACTGTCTGCCGCTTGTTTGAAGGATTTATGCTGGACGTCAATTGAGACATCATCCAACCAGCAGTCCACATTTGCCACATCTTTGCGCTTTTGGATCTTGTCAATCGTCGGGCGCAATGCCACTTTCGCTAACGACGGCGCCGCAGGGCACCCCGCTTGCACTCCATTCGTAGCTCTGATGCCTGCCGATAGCACCCCATCTGCTGCCAAGTATCTGGCACCCATGTACACTTCCAGTGCCATTTTCAGGATTAGCGGTGGATATTGCAGGTCCGTTGCTGCCGCTATCAGTTGCTGAAATTGGATGGTATCGAAAAAGGACTCAAGGTCCAAAAATAGCGACACCACATGCACACCATTTGTCTTCGCCACCTCGTTTCGCAACAGTCTGCCTACAGCCACGTCCAGGCAGCAACTGCCTGGGACCGCCTTGTCGTACTTGGCATTTTTTGCGTAACTCACCTGCCAAGTACTTACCAAATCCCATCGCAATCGGACCCAGGTTCGGTACAGGATGTGCAACAAGGCGATTGGTCTCTCCCGGGTCAGATTCTTAGGCAGCATTGCAATAAGTGAGACTGTCATTTGTTTCGGCCATGTTGCTTTGGCCTCACACTCATGGTAGAAAGCCACTACTGCTTCGACCGCTTTGTCGTCCATGGCCTGCAAATGGTCGATCCGCCATCCATCCGGCCCCGGGCTCTTGAGGGCCAATTTCTTGATCCTTGCCTTGACCTCTTCAGGATTCAGCGGCTCCACGCTGGCCGCCTGTTTTTTGGCTGCATCCTCAAGCTCCAGCATGAGCGAGGCCGTTTGTGCCATCGGTGTGCCCTTCGTCCACACCGCCGCCCAGTGGTCACGTCGAATGTGTGGCCGTTCCAGCATGTCATATTCCATGTAGGGTCTCTGTACCACTTGTTCGTCTTTCCGCAAGGCATTGTACAGCGGTCGCATGCCCTTTTCCATGGCCTTGCTGAGCCATTGCTTGTACTGGTGGGCTGTCTCCTCTATGTCCGCCTTTCTCGCGTAGCATTGCTGTTCATCAATGCGCTTTAGGACAAGTCTGGCGTCTGTGCCTCGTCCCAGGATACTCACAAGCATATCCTCCCGGCTCTGCGCATCGCCCTCATAGTACACGTTGAGTCTACGTTGGACTAGGCGCGCCACCGGATGCGCGTCTCCATGATGTCTGCCTTGCTTGACCCATTGTTGGACACGGTTCCAAAAAGCTGCCCTCTTGCCTGTCCAGACAGCGTTCTCCGGGTTGTGGACCACCAATTTCTTCCGGACGATTTCCGATTTGACACCCATACCGTCGATTCGTCCTGTGATCGACCTCTCCACACTTGCACTCAGGTGAGCGAATTTCTCACTGAGTTCATCTTCCATCCTGGGTTCATCCAAGATGTGGATGGTCTGTGTGTTTTTAACCGGTGTGTATTCCACGGTTTCCGTCACCAGTGCTCCCGCCTTCTTCATTTGGGGAACATCAGGGCTACTGCACGGTTGGGCTACCCTCCAATGCATCGCAGCATGAGGCCGAAAAGGGGTTTCCCAATCCGTTTTCACTTGCAGGATGGGCACCAAGCATTTCGCAACCAGCCCATAATCGATTTCGTCCGATCCTTGGGCCGTTGGTTCCCCACTCCCACAAATGCACCACCAACTTCTGTCGCCATAGTTGTGCCCCTCATGGTATCCTGGGTTTCATTCCAATCACCCAGCACCATATATGGCACTTTGCAGCCCTTGAGGAAGGCTATCAGTCTCGCCAGTACTTGGATATTGTTTGGAGCCTGGAATCCGACCCCGCTCTCCAAATACAGACTGACGATGATCAAATCCCAGCCTTTGTTTCTCATGGCACATGCCAGGAAGCCCGCCGGTCCTGAACCATACTCGGTAAGGTATCGCAGGTTCCTATGTCGGGGTGCCACCACTGCCAGGCCTCCTTGTACACCCTTAATTTTTGTACTGCCAGGCATGCCAATGAAGGTATATCCCATATCTTGGCAATGGCTCATGGCTTGCTGGATACCCTCCGTCTTGAGATGGGTTTCCTGCAGCACCACCAGGTCCGGTCCTAGTTCGTGTATCCATGCCGCTATGGGTTTCCTCCAGCTGGTGATGTTAGCCGCTGTGATTTTGATACATTCGGCCTTATCACCTTGGCGATACCCACTTGCCACATCTTCCAAGATCCATTTGGCATATTGTGCGTCCTGCTCCACAAAGGAACGAAGCACTTCGTGGCATGCTCGTTGTTGTAGCGGGTTTAGTTCCTGCTCTTCCAGCTTCTCAATGGCTTCGAGTGCGGCAGCCTCACTGGAAGCATCATATCTACCCACCACTTGGCATAGCATTTGCCACTCCTGTGGCAGATCTTTTGGTGGTTCCTTGGGTTTTGCTTTCCGCTTCTTGGGCTTTTGTTTTCCTCTGTGACCCTCAGCACACGGCGAGGCCGAAAACCGTATTTCCTCAGCTTCCTGCGAGGCCTTCATGTTCTCCCCTCTGACCGCTGCATGGTCTCTCATCTGTGTTTGACTTCCCTCAGCTTCTCGCGAGGCCGAATGCTCACATTCCTCTTCGAGGTCTTCCCTTGTCATATGGAAGTATCTGGGCCCTGTGACCGCCCAACTGCTTTCTACAGCTCGGACAGGATTAGGACCTTTCGTAACTGGACTCCAGCGCTCTTGGCTGTCCTCCACTGTGCTGTTTGTACTAGGCACATGGGTACTAGACACAGCTTGACTGCCTTCCCCATGTGCCTGCGGCCATACAATGTCCCCGTGACACTGCTGCTGGCCACCACCAAAAGTGTAAACAGAGTCTCCCCATTGAGACTCCTCGGGTTTTCCTTTCTTCTTTTGGCTGTTCGGACCAGAAGCTGCTCTGAGGTGTCGGCCCCTCCGCTCCTGTCCCAGCCTGAGGTTTCATTCGCCATGGGCACGCGCCGGCGAGCGTTCGCGCCCCGTCGGCGTTGCCCTGACTGACACATCTCGAGACATGCGCATCGGACCATACATGCCAATTTCGACTGGCATGCCTGGCTCTCTTGGTCCCAAGACTCCACTCCAGTCTGTCTCCACGACCTTGACTGCCATCTTCGTTTTGAGCGCCTCCGCTTGCTCCTCGGACAGGATGATCCCTTCCTTTTCCAGGTATGACGCGACGTCCTTGTACGGCGAGTCCTCTTCATCTTTCACACAGGCTTGTACCTTCCTCTGTGCTTCCGCAACCTCAAGCTCCGTGGCCTGGATAGCCTGGCTGACTTGCGCAAGCTGCTTCATGGCCTGCTCGAACTCGCTCTTGATCTTTTCCGTTTTGTCTTGAAGCCGGACCTTCTTCTCAATGAGTGATCTCAGCTTGTTTGTCGTCCTTCTGTATGCACCGACATGGCGGCTGAGCTCCTGCTTTGGCGTCTCTTCCTCAGGCTTGTAGTCCCCTGGAGGGGGAATACCCGCTGCTCTGAGCAGCCTTTGCACTGCAGGCTCAGCTCCTTGCCACACCATTTCAATGGCCGCATGGTACTCCTTTTGCGACATGCTTTCCGCCTGCGATCCACCGCCTGGTAGTCCCGGGGGCCAAATTGGCCCCGGCTCCATCGTCTGCGGCTTCCAGCCTGCTTCTTCGATGGCCTTCTTTGCCTCCATAGAAAGCGTTCCCCACGCCTTCGAGAGGGCTTGGTCGGCCATCCCTTCTTTGGTCTTGGCCTGTCTTGTCCACCATGTAGCGTCGTCTTTTGGCCACTGCCACTTCTTACGCTGGCTTGGCCATGCTCTCTCGCGGTGGTTGGTCTTTTTCCACGCCTTTCCACAATGCCAGCAGTTCGGGTTGTAGTACAAGTCTTCATTCCAGACCCAGCCCACCTCACAGTGGGAGCACACAGTACTGTACTTTCCCATGACTGCTGCAACGCCTAATGCCAGTCCCACCAGCACCTCAGCAATGCGAGGCCGAAAGACCCCTCAACCGTAGTGAGGCCGAACTTTATGTGTCCTCAGCCGGAGCGAGGCCGAAACTGGCCACTCCCTCAGCCGAAGCGAGGCCGAAAACACCCTCTGCCGAAGCGAGGCCGAAAAGTTCCCTCAGCACTTGGCGAGGCCGTACTCAGGCAGCTATGTTGCTTGCAGCCGACTACCAAGCAAACACAGTGGTTTCGGTTTGAGTCCTGTTGGAGCCCACCCTTAGGTACAGCCTCCAGGCAACAGCACTCCCTACCTGAGCACCCCACCGGGGTTGAGCCGAAACTTGAGCCAACCTGAACTGCTTACACCACTACACGTACAAAAAAAAACACGATGTCCTCGGGGGCGGCCTGTGTCTGAGGAAGGAGAACAGCAAAGTCAAATGTATCTAGTATCTTGATTCATGAATTATTTTTCCCCTTTAGCAGCATTCCAGCGCTGCGGATTTTTCCGCCTCGTCTGATCTCTACATTTGTAACGTTTGGATAGCTGACGAGTTCTTCCACAGTGTCAAGTCTCATCAGAGGAGATGGAAGGGTGCAAGCAGAGTTGTGATTTCAGTCTGCTTCAGGTCGTGTTGTGCCAGTTGATTGCACTTGGCTTGCCAGTACTTGGCTTGCCAGTACTTGCTGCTGACAAAAGTCTGGCCGCATCATCCACATCGTCCGCAGCCTCCACGTCCTCCACATCCTCCACATCCTCATGCGTACAAGTTTCTAGCTCAGCACAGCTAGCTTCTCGGATCACCGCTGAAACAAGAAAAGCGCTGTAGTCAAGCTTGACATTGTAGGTGAGCAACTCTAGCTAAAAGCACTAGGCTCAGCAGCAGCAGCAGCAGCAGCAGCAGCAAAGAAAAGTAAAGTGCTACCCTGAACAACTCACAGATCTATGCGCCAGCACGATGATGCAATGATTCGCATCTCTCACTCCTGGTCGAGCTGGACGAGGGGTTCAAAGACTTCGCGTTGCCCATCCGATCCGTCGTGCCGGAGCGTGTGGTACTGGACCTCCACAATATACCATTGCATGATTACACGATTATAGGATCATACTATGATACCGTTACACCCTCTGTACAATTATGCAATTCTAGAATTCTACAAATATACAACTATACTATTTTTCTCTTATTATACTATTATACTATTATACTATATACTATTATACTATTATACGATTATACGATTATACGATTATACGATTATACGATTATACGATTATACTATTATACGATTATACTATTATACGATTATACGATTATACGATTATACTATTATACTATTATACTATTATACTATTATACTATTATACTATTATACTATTATACTATTATACTATTATACTATTATACTATTATACTATTATACCATTATACTATTATGTTATTATACGATTGATTATACTGTTATACCATTATACTATGATACTATTATACTATGAAACTATTCTACTATTATGTTATTAATACTACAATACTAGTATACTACGATACTACGACACTATTATACGAATAAACTACAATACCATTATACTATTCTACTATTATACACATTTTACGACTATACTATTGTACTAGTATACTACTGTACTAATATACTATTATACTATTCTGCTATGATACGATTATACTATGATACTATATTACGCGAGTGTACTATTATACTATTCTGCGAATATACTATTTTTCTATTCTACTATTATACCATTGTACTGCTACACTATTATACGATTACACTATTATACTATTATACCATGAAACCACTATACAGTAATAGTAGTACTACTAGACTATGCTGCTATTCTATTAGTAGAGTATGATCTATGGCGCCGTCACGGAATCAATCCGAAACATGTGCTCTAAGGAAACGTTGCAATGCCCACCAAGCCTGGGACTTGGGCTTCATTTTCTTCGTCGGGGTCACGTCCACCTCATGGCGAGACAAACGATGTGTCCCAAGACTGGGACTTCTTGTTGATGCATTGCGTTCGCTCAGGAAGGGTGGTGTGAACCAGGGTTATCATGCTAAGGCTGCCAATCATCTCCGTACTACATGGCCTCGGAGCGGCTGCGGCTGCTCGGTGTCACAATGCCAGCGTAGTATACGGACGGCTTCTCTTGCTTTTCCTTTTTTTCCTTGGCCTGGCAGGGGCACTGGAATCCTGCTTGACCCATGCTAGCATTGAGCACCAACTGCCACAACTTGCCCCTTCTGTGAACCAACGTTTACAATCATGTTCATGATGATGCTGATGGTACTCGTGGGCATTCCTTTATTTATGGAGAGGTCCTGATTCCCTAACCCTAATCCCTTAACCCTGTCTCCTGGATGCTTCGAGACCGTCCGAGTGACTCTTTGCATAAACCCTAGCCCTAAACCCCAAGCCCCAAACCCCAAACCCTGTAAACCCTCAAACCCTCTGAACCCTAAGCCCTAAACCCTCTTCTCTATGGCCTTTGAAGGGCTGCCTTCGCTTTGTTCAAGCCCTGCGCTCTGCGGGGAGATCGGCTCCGGGGGCTCAACGAGGGGCAAAAGGACGGCTTCCTCTGGGCGCGTGCCCCGGCGGGGGTTTCGAGGATATTCAGGCCACTGAAGGTATTTAGGGCATCTAAGGTTTTTTTTTTTTTTGGGGGGGGGGGGGGGTATTTTGGGCATTTCGGGTATGTGAGGTATTTGCGGCATTTAGTGTATTTAGGGTACTTAGGGTACTTGTGCGTGAAGAGCTTGCAGGCATCTTGATCCCCACCACCCGACACTGACAAATTTCGGAAACGTCCTTCACGCTATCAGGAGCTTGCTCCGGCACTTCTGCTTCCTCAGCAGGCAAGACCTCTGGATCAGGTGGTTCTTCTGGTACCACTTCTGCTTCCTCAGCAACTAAGAAGGGGCAAACAGTGGGGCAGGCGAGAGGAACTGCAACATCAAAATTGGAGATCCTACTCCGGATGGCTGCAAGCCTCCGCATCGGGGGCTGGCTCTCCGTCTGCTTCCTCTGGTAGCACATCCGCATCCTGTTCCTGGCGCTTTGGGCTTCCGGGCTTCAGAAATCGCATGTCTCTTCTGGAAAGGATTCGGCCACTACTGAAAACCCGCAATCAGCGAATCGAAGCAAGATGGGTTTGGGGCTTCGTAGCGTCCTCCGACTCCAGAGGAGGTGCTGTGGGCGAAAACTCGTCCGCCTGAGCAGATAGGGAGGTTTCCGAAATGACGGGTACCTTATTGGGGGCTTTATTAAAAGGGAATCCTATGATTTGGGGGTCCCCTATTTTCGTAAACCCCCATAGGGCAAAGTAAATCATGTGTCTGTGGGTATCTGTGCCAGGCAGTTGCAGACTGAAAAGCTACGGGCCGATGTTGTACTTAAGCTGTCCTGGGATTTCCTTGCACTCGCCGGGCATTTCTTGCCGGTTAGAGCGGCTTCTTTACAATCTGCAACAGCAGCGATGATGATGATGACAAACGCCGCTTACATACGAAACCAAAACTGGCAGACTGGAAGCGAGTGCATGTTTTGCGACGAAGCGCGAATGCGCTCGGGTGTTCCAGTCCGCCGAAAGTCGGGGCCGGCGCCGGGGGCGCATTCTGCACCCGCCCGGCCGTCGACCGGCGGCTGGCACCCGAATGGGTTGGAAGTGGGTGGGTAAAACGAAAGCGGCGCGTTTGAGCAGTCGTCGGCTCCGGCGGACGACGCTCAGTTTGTCCCTACACACACAAGTGTGTTACACGACAAACGCCGCTTACATACGAAACCAAAACTGGCAGACTGGAAGCGAGTGCATGTTTTGCGACGAAGCGCGAATGCGCTCGGGTGTTCCAGTCCGCCGAAAGTCGGGGCCGGCGCCGGGGGCGCATTCTGCACCCGCCCGGCCGTCGACCGGCGGCTGGCACCCGAATGGGTTGGAAGTGGGTGGGTAAAACGAAAGCGGCGCGTTTGAGCAGTCGTCGGCTCCGGCGGACGACGCTCAGTTTGTCCCTACACACACAAGTGTGTTACACGACAAACGCCGCTTACATACGAAACCAAAACTGGCAGACTGGAAGCGAGTGCATGTTTTGCGACGAAGCGCGAATGCGCTCGGGTGTTCCAGTCCGCCGAAAGTCGGGGCCGGCGCCGGGGGCGCATTCTGCACCCGCCCGGCCGTCGACCGGCGGCTGGCACCCGAATGGGTTGGAAGTGGGTGGGTAAAACGAAAGCGGCGCGTTTGAGCAGTCGTCGGCTCCGGCGGACGACGCTCAGTTTGTCCCTACACACACAAGTGTGTTACACGACAAACGCCGCTTACATACGAAACCAAAACTGGCAGACTGGAAGCGAGTGCATGTTTTGCGACGAAGCGCGAATGCGCTCGGGTGTTCCAGTCCGCCGAAAGTCGGGGCCGGCGCCGGGGGCGCATTCTGCACCCGCCCGGCGCCCCCTGCCCCCCATCATGCGCCGGCACTCCACAAAAACTCCCGGGAAACCCTCACAAGGTCGTCGCCGGCGGCGTCCGTGGCGTACTCGATGTCGCCGGCCGCATTGGCGAGGACGACGAGGATGGCGTCAACGGGGAGGTCGATCCAGCCTCCTCGACGATGGGGAAGCGGTTGCGGCGAGCCTCCACATCGTCGACCCGGTCCTCCGGCATGGGCTCCGGCAGGCCGCCGCCGATGGAGAGGCCCGGGTTGGGCACCCCTTCGGGGGCCGGCGGCTCGCCGACGGACGATGCCGACGAAGACGGCGGCGGCCCAGACTCCACAGTCACCTCGGGGACGACGGGAATCGTGTCGTCGAGCGTGTCCAGGTGGCCGAGGTAGTTCTGGTCCGCCGGCGGCGCCGTCTCCTCCAGGACGTCGTTAATCGGGCCGGAGACGTCGGGGTCCTCGCCGAGGCTGCTCTGCGCCGCCTGCTCGCCGGACGCCGCCCCTGGATGGTCGATCCTGCCCGCCGAGTCGCGAGCGAGCGACGCAAAGAGAAGGTTCGGCGGCAGGATGTTGTCGAAGCGGGTGTCGGCCAGGAGCGTGGCGTGCGCCGCGATCATCCTCTCCCTCACCGGCATGGGGATCTGCGCGACGAGGGTGAGGGCGGCGTCCGGCGTCGTCGTCGCCAGGGTGAGCGCGGCGATCAGCTCGTCGATGGTGAAGCCGGACACGGCGTCGGGATCACGGAAGGAGAGCCAAAACGAAAGCGGCGCGTTTGAGCAGTCGTCGGCTCCGGCGGACGACGCTCAGTTTGTCCCTACACACACAAGTGTGTTACACTACAATCAAAAATTTAGAATATACGAAAACGGCGAGGAGTAGGCCTCCGCCATCTGGAGTCTACAAGGTTCGGCCGCCGGCCTCATCCCCTTCCTCCACTCGGGAAGCTGAAGGAGACGCCAGGAACAGCGACACCTGCAACTCCAGGTGTTTCGGGGCGTCAGGCATTCAGCCAAAATCACAACATACATGTCCAAGGACAAGAGCCTGGACAACCCTGATCAAACGTAACCCGGAAGCTCTCTGTCCCTGATTACAACGAGGCCCGCCTGTTGGTTGCCAAGCAGGCTGTTAATCTGGTCTGGCGCGACCTCCAGCACTCTCTCAACCCGTACCTCGACGCCAGGAGACAGTAACTGAAGGTTTGGGGCACAAAGGGTTTGGGAATTCGGGATCGGCTTCCAGACTGCAAAGGCATCGGGGCAGCGGCGAGCGATCCCTCCTTGACTTGGTCAAGGGAATCCTGCGCAACTGCGCAAGACCCCAAGCCCCGGAACCTTTGCGCACTCTGAGCTTGCTCTCTAGCGGGGCTCCTCGCCATCAACCACAGCACCTTTGGCCTCAAGTTGGACGTCACCACATGCGGCACTTTGCATGCGTTACAATTTTGATGCGTTAAAGGTTCCTGAGCTAATGTGAGCGCATGAATGTGCTGCACGTGTAGCATGGGACTGGCCAACGTGCCACACAATGCACAGCAGCAGCAGACGATGGGCCGGAGACATGAGGCATTGAAGTTCCCTATGAAGCTGATCGTCCGTGGAGCAATGAGGCATCTTAGAACTTCACGCGGCCTGAGCCGCGCACCATGATGAAAATTCTTGTTTTTTGACTGTCCTGCGACGGGCGAGTCAACTCCAAAGGCACTATCAGCAACCCGACAAGAATCTGCAACCGGAACAAGGCTCTCAACCGGACACGAGTGAGTCACTGCAATGCGCAGACAATGCTTTTTTGCTTGTCGCCAGAAGGTGGACCAGCAAGTCAGCGTCTCGAAGTGGGTGCAAACTGGCCCCTGCCCGGAGGCTTGTCCTCATTCACGGGCAGACTGTCCAGATTTAAAATTGCAACTTGAATCAACTTGATGACAGACTCTGATGGAGGAGGGCAGAGCTTGGGCCAAAGCCTGTTGAGCAAAGCGTTGCCGCCTGGCACGGCGATACACAGCAGCTGTCCCCGGACCAGGCATGATCGAGCTCCAAGACTTGAGTTACACTTGGGACCGCAGCTACGTCCGCATCTTGTAATCATCCCTAAAATTTACGGACTGTCTGTCAATCTGACTTGCCGAGTGCACGTACCGCGTCGCAGAGGTCGATGGCCAAAACCTGTCACAAGCATTGAAAGCGTCAAAGCCGGTTCCACCAAACAATTTCGATGGGAGCGAGTGCGCAGCCGCAATCAGACATTCTCCGAGCCTAGCTCCACAGAGCTCCACAGCTTACAAGATGTACGATTTGCTCTCATCCTACTTTGTCGCTGATACTCGGAAGGGCAGGCGGCGGTCATGCCAATGTCTGCACGCCCATCCAGACGAGGTGAACAGCTTCTAAGCCCGAGAAGGGACTGGACATCTGAGAAGTGACGAAGCCGAGTCAAGCACACACTCGCCATGAGTGCTACACCACATTATGTCAAGCAGACTGCGGGCGAAGCTGTGACTACGCTCACCTCTATACAAGACTTGAAGCAGATGTCGCCTGCCTTGCAGAGAAGCTTTCCTCACGACCTGGCGAGTCTGAGCACAGCAGCCAGCATGCAGAAGCGAGACAGCTGTTCAAGACTCTTAGAAAGGCTACTCAACAGGCAAAACCTTCCAAGGAGACCCATGCGGAGCTGCAATGACAAGGATGCACGGTATAGGTCCCTGACAGAGAAGGGTTGCCCTGCTGCCACGGAGATTTTGTTCGAGAGGCACACGAGCCGGTCCTTCCCGGATCCGGCCCCCATCCCCGCTGCAAGAAAGCTCTGCAGGGCTTGGGGGTTAGGGATTGAGGGCGCCGTGGGTTTCAATCGCTAAGGTGCTGACGCTCCGCTTGTCGAACCTACTGCCGATCCTGGTGATTCATCGGCAGCCATTGGAAGTGCGGCAGGCTGACAACACCTGGGCACAGCAGCCAGCAACACGTCCGCTGGGGATCGTGGACAACAGCCAGGAATCCAGGACTGTTAGGCCAAGAAGGTGAAAACTCCAAAGGACTGAAACAAGTGAACATGAACAAAAATCACACTACAGACCCTCCTACGCTCTCGACAAATTCCGAAAAGAAACCAAAAGACGACTCCACCCCGGAAAGCCCAAACGAGCACGCAGAGTTTTTGTCCAAGGCGGTCGCCCCAGCCCAAAGCTTCCAGCACGCGCCGCTTCAGCTTTGATTTGGCCTGCGACGAGCTTTTTTAAACCTTCAGGTTAGAACGATAGGAAGTTAGGCTTAGGGATCCCTTGCTAGTACAGGATTCGTTGTACATCCTTCCCTGCCCTGACTTGAAGAACTCTGAACCCCACGGAGTGCAGGGAGCCACGCCGTCATGCGCTGGGAAAAAGCGTAGAAGTGCGTGTAGCCATCCACTTCCACCGCTACCTTCCACAACACCGCGGCGACTGCATGGGGGGCTCAAACAGCCGAGATTTAACAGACCCGCTCCTGCCGTCAGCGCTAATTAATGCAGGGAGCGCTGCTGGTTGGATCCCTCGAGAGGTAATGGCCTTCATCGGCAACACAAAGTCCGGCACATAGGGGCCAACAGCCTTGCAAGGGAACTCTGGGACTGACTGGAAGCAGCCGTTCCATGCCGTTCCTCGAATGGCGAAGAACTACTCTCACGATTCATTATTGGCTCTTCAACAGTCAGCTTCTGACACACCCAGGCTGTAGACTGGCCAAGTATAAGATGAAAGCATCCTGCATTGCTATTCCGCCACGAACCCCCACGGAGCGAAAGACCGAGGCCCGAACTACCAGTCCCCAGTCCCCAACCCTAAACAGCACTCACGGGAGCATGAACAACCCTGAGGATCTCGCAATCCTGAACCCTGAACCCTAAACCCTCAACCCTAAACCCTAAAAGCCCGAAAACCCTCCGAAAGCCAAGCCTGCTCGGGCAGGTGGGGTACTTGCAGCTCTTGGAAGTAGCGCTCCAGGGCGGCTTGGAGCCGAGAGCTCATGGGTGGAGACCTTGAAGGGTTTAGGGTTTAGGGTTTAGGGTTCAGGGCTTAGGGCTTAGGGTTTAGGGTTTAGGACTCAGGGTTTAGGGTTTAGGGTTTAGGGTTTAGGGTATCTTGGTTGAGGGTTTTAGGGTCTCCAGGGCTTCGGACTTGGGCATCTTAGGGATATTCAGGGTCGCGTCTTAAGGTCTAGGGCTGAGGGCTTTGCAAAGCCTCTGCTTCCGAATGTAGAGCTTCAATGGTCGCAGCTGCGTGCATTCTTGGCCCGCGACCCAATTGCCACATCTTTGGTAGCTGTGAGGACCTGCCAGGGTGCAGCTTCGAGAGTGGCAGCTAGAGGTCGTGTCCGAGAGCTAGCGGTCCGGAGACAGGTCTGATGAGAGAATGAGACAATTAAGGATGGTCGACTGAAGACATTCGGCCTCCCGCAGCGCTCCGACGCAACGGCGCCGGACTTCCGTGTCCTGGCGAAGCCACTTCAGCAGGAAGGCTTTGCTTCGTTTTTAGGGATGGTTTAGGGCATCGCTTTGGGCTATTGGTCGTCATTACCACAAGCTTCGGCAAGTTCATTTTCGAAGTTGGCAGCGTTGCACGTTATCTCTCGAAGCCGGTTAGAACTCCCGAACCTTCCCACGATCCTCGACGGAAGCACGCATCAGCGGACGCAGAGCTTGAGGCAGCTGCACCTAAGTGAACCAAGTGAACCAAGAACCGCTAAGGAGTTCGCAGTATCAGGCATGCAAAGGCCCCAAGTTTTGGGGTTAGATGGTGTGCAGGAAAGCAGACCGACACTAACTAGCCGTTGATTTTATGGGCATGCGCACTGCCATTGCCGGCCCTCGCAAGGGAAATAGCATCAACTGATGCAAACTGGCATGGGGGTCCGCTTCTTAGCCGCTGATCTACCTCTGGGGCGCGAACGCAATGGGCCACGATACGCAAGGCATGTATCGCGATGGGCTCCAAGCCACGTGCCTTCGCCGTATGACACCCAGCATGACTTTAGCATTCCGCAGGCTATAGGTGTCCCTGAAATGACGTATGTGATGCGCGCTCAGAGGGCTCCCCAGGTGGTGACGCCCTGGGCCATAAATCCCATAAGCCGATGAACCGCAGGATAACCGGATAACCACAGTATGGTGGAAGTGTGGAGAGCTGCAGTGCCTGTTTTGCAAGGCGCTGGAGCGCGAAGGAGAAGAGTTCCCCCTGGGGAAGATCCAGAACCTCTGGCTTTGCGGCGCGAACTAACCCCCCCCCACGTCCATGAGTGTCCCCACGCTGCTTCGTTCCATGTTTGGGGGTAGGCTCTCGCACCGGCAAACTCTGACAACTCAAAATAACCTGACCGCACACCCCACGTGCCGTTCATTCAGTACGCGTACTGAGGGCTTTGGCCACGAGGGCAAAGGTGATGTTCACGAGCTCCTGGCCAGCAATATGGGGTTCGGGAAGCTTCGAGACGGGGACGATGAGTAAGACGATGATTCTATCAAACATGCGCCCCTCGCAGCACCAAAGTGGGTGACGCACCCTTTCACCAACCACGAGTACATGCCGTTTAGATAACGAGTGATAACGAGTGAGGAGGGGTTGGACTCCAAAAAGCTGTAAACCCATTAACCCCCCCCCACCTGCTGTGAGGCATGGCCCAGGCATCGGGGAAGTGCAGTCGAAGCCAAGGCCGCAGCTGAAAAAGAGGGAAAGTGGGAGAGTTGGGATGGGCAAAGGGATTGGATGCGTTTGAGAGCCTAGGATTCATTTAGGGGCTTCAGGGCTCAGGACTGCGGGTTTCAGGACAGGAATCTGAGGTCTTGGAGTGTTGTGAGAGTCGGGCTCGGGGTTTGGGGCTGAAGGGGCCCTTTTCATCCTGTGCAAGGCACCTGCAACATGACATAGCACATGTTGCACGTTGCACCTGTTCCATCACTGCCGAAGTCCAGCAATGCAAGGGCGTAGAGAGAGCCGGCAGCCTGACGAATGCTCGCAGCTCATCCTAGAAGACTGCACACGGATGCAGTCGGCAAATAGCATGCAACAAATGAGATGAGTATGCCTCAACTGCCTCACCACGGCAAAACGGAGTCTGGAGATGTTGAGTTGATCTGACTCACGCTAGGGTCGTGGCCGTGGATGGTTCCATGCTGCTGAGATTCTGCCTGACTCGGCGAGCTATCGATCTGACACAAACCAAGCAACAGGCTGACAACTGCAAAGAACGAGCGGAACGGAAGAGCGCATGCCACACCTCAAGGCACGGCCAATGGTCGCGAGTCGCTCCTAGCCATTGTGCCATTACCGTTCGTTGGATCAGGAAAAATTACTGAAACTTGCTGACTGGTGCACACGTTCAACCCCGCAGATGTTCGGACAGTCGCTAAATCCGTCCTCATCGCGCAGCGCTGAGCGAGCAAAGGCAATGAGGAGCAGCGACAAGTCAAAGGTGGAGAACTGCACGAGACTACGGACAGAAATATCTCGTATAACTTGCCAGAAGACGGCTCGCTGCGCAATCGAATAAAGATGAATTAGTTGCGTGCTTGAAGCTCCACCACATCTACTCATTGCTTTGGTCGAAAGACTTGTGTCGACACGGGCCAGCCACGGTTCTTAAACACGTTGACTGTTGCCTCTCTGACTTTGGTGTCAAACTGCCACTGCTTCAACAGCTTCTCGAGCAGCCTGCAGGCTTGCGTTCAATCTCCCGGGGCTTATTCCGAGCTTCAACCCCTCGTCATGCTCAGCTCTGGACGGTCCATCAAAATGTCCAAGTTTCCGAAGGTCGCTCCTGCCACGTTGCGAATCACGTTGCATTTCTCCCTTCGCGGTCGTGAGCAGGGGTTGCGCATGGTTGCAGTATGTTGCAGCACCGCAGCGTAGCAGCTGGCACTCTGCACCCTGCAACAACTTCAACACAGAGCCAGCGGCTCAACAGCTGTGCCAGAAGCCGCGGCGACAACATCGTGAGCTCCTTTGAACCTGTGCTGCTGCTGTGCAGCCGGGGGACGGTTTGACAGGTTGGGATGACGTCAGATTCGAAAGAACACTCACGATGCAACACGCCACAGCTTCTCAAAAGACAGACATTGGCTAGGTGCCAGCATGCAATGCTCCATCCGTATAAAGCACATGACTCTCCAAGATCACGGCAAAATCTTCTGCTGACTGCATTAAGCAGCGACCTCGAGTTTCCGTGGGCTCAGAGCAGAGGCCCATTGAATTGAGTCCAATTTGTTGCGCCTCTTCCTGAAGTCCACTCGGCAGAGCGCCCGCACGACGCGGCAGAGATCCTCTGCAGGCTTTACGGCTTTGCCAGCACGTCGCTCCATTTTGCATGTCGGAGCCCTTTGGCCCTTTGGCTCGTCCAACTAGATTTCACCACACAAGCTGGAGTCCTTGACATCAAAACTGCTGATCTCTTGCTGCACTTTTGCGGCATAGACCTTACCAAAACAAACGATAATCCCTTGTCGATGGCTCTGCACGCCTTCGGCACACGCTCTTGGCATCGCCAGCCCACGAGTGCGCGGTTCCTGGACGTAAGGCAACAGCCTTCCAAGCGCTGTTGCGCTTCTCTCCGGCCGTGGACAGCTTGTCAAGCAGGAAGACCCTGGCCAGGTCTGAATCAAACACTCATCCTTGCCTTGAACGGTTTAACACACTAAGCCTGCACCAAGTCACTAAGCCGCAAAACCACGCCAGCAGGACAACTCCTCCCTGCCCAGCTGGGGCTCTGGGGCCGAGCCCACGATTCTGCGGCTGAGCAAGGGCCGAAACCATCGGCACTGGGTTCGCGGGCAGCGCAGCATTCCATGGCGACTTCTAGCTGTTCAGCGCCTATTGTTTCTTTCTTGTCTGCAAATATCATACATGATCACACGCACTTGCTCCAGCATTTTGGTGTGTTCCTGGGGGCGAGCAGGCGAACATCTGAAAGCTCGCCCCAACGATGACCGGAGATCCGGACTTCGGCTTTGGTTGGCTCTCAGGGCTTCAGAGAATCTGCAGAGCCCCTTTGATTCCGCACGCACCTTAAGGCACGATCAGCAAGTATAAAGGCAATGTAGCGGCACCCTCTTTATCAACCCTGCGGATGCGCCATCTGAGCGGTGGCTTCGACTCACGAAGTGTTCGCCTGTTCCAAAACAGGGTGCATAGAGGAGAGATGCCGAACTCAGCTGTCGAACTTTGCCATACCGAGCAAATGTTTTTCATCTAAGCCTGGCAGAGCCTCCTCGAGCCTCTCAACGTCTTGAACTCACCTTCCAAAAGGTCCACCCAATGGCACGATACCAATGCCTTACGAAGCATCCGATCACCATTGTCTCGCCTGAAGGTTCTCCGCAATGTAGGATGCCACCACCTACATGGAGGGGACTCGTGCACTCCTGCACTCATGCACTTTCCCCCCCTCCCCCCACAAGTTCCATCCCAAGCGCCTTACCCAATCGGCCTCGTGGTCACGCGATAGCGGCTCCGGAGCCCCTTCCGGAAAGAGCAGCTCCCTGTGCGTCATGGCAACTTCCTGAGATCTGTGGTGTGCCGTCGTCGCTGCAGCGCGCATGGAAGCGATTTCCGAGGGGCTTCGACTTGCAGCCAAGCTTCCTGAAAACATCCTAGCAGAGCGATCTCGGCAGAAACGTCCTGCGCCACTCAAGACTCTTTTGAGGGCCCTTCACCAAGACTCTTTGAGGGCCCTTAACAGAAATATGCTGTAATTTGCAGTCACTAGCACTGCTCAGAATGCAAACCTTTTCCTAGGTGCACTCTAAGGATTTCGCAAGTCACCACAACCTGCACGTAAGCTATGTTCTGTTTGCACCCTCACGGCAGCAAACTTCGCGTTGAGGCTTCGTCCTGCGACAGATCTTCATGGGGGCCTGCCTGAGCATCAACTCAGTGAGATTGTACTGAACATGTCCTGAACCCGCAATCTGAATCCCAAACTGTCACAGAAAGCCAGACCTTCAACTCACACTTTCAGCTCTCCACCAGCATGAAGCTCCAACGCAGCTGGAAGTGCGTTCCCCAGCAAAACCCCTGAGCATCTGGCTTGCCGGGCAGCTTCGAGCTCCTGAAAAGAAACAGCAGTGGCGTAGAAGCGCCGTAGGAGCAGACATTGGCGTACTGCGCCATGACAACAACAACTGTGCCCTTTGGCATGGCGAGCCCTCAAAGCAGTAGCAAGGCTCGCCTGCAGGAGGCTCTGCAGCTGCTGCTGCAGGTTCTCCTCCTCTGCCTGGCAAGGGATCGCTTTCGTCAGAAACCGTCCTGAAACGAGGTCCTTCGGCGCAGTAGCCTGCTTCAACGTGTAAGAAACGGTGACTCAGTATAACCAGCGCCTTGGCACAATGGACTCCGTGATTGTGCAAGCAAACCAGCCAGGTGCACGCGCAGCATGCTGACTTCTGCCTCCAGCCAACAAAAACATGCGCGCGGATGTGCGAGGACGCTCTCCACTTCTTGTGTGGCCAGCCTCCTGTGGAAGCATGCTGCAGGCTTCAGCACCTGCACTTTAGCAAAGAAGCACCAGGGCGAAACAGCAACAGAGGCAGAGGCGGGTAGATCACAGCTGTTCCAGTTGGTTTGGCACACCGCCGCTTCTTCCCACGGCATGCGGCTCCAACACAATAGCTGCCCGTCGACTTGGGAGGCCAGGCTTCACATTTCAAAGCCCAGAAGCCCAAGAAAAGAGGTCCCAAAGTTCAGAAACGGTACCCGGCTTTGGCGAACAAAGCGGCTTGCAAACTCTGGGACCCGTCTATGTACATGACAGGTGGCACACCAGTGAGACAACATTGGGTTGTATCGTATCAATTCAATATGCCAGCTCGGACCGGCAAACAATCAGAAGAGTCCCATTTCAGTTCTCCTCATCGCTTGAGGCATCGCTGGGAACATCTTGATGGTGAGCCTGCGTTCGGAACAGAAAGAAGGAGAACAAGTGTATTAAAGTGTTGTAATGACAAGCGTAGGTGAGCGGAATTCGCCGAGGCCTCTGGCCGTAGGCGTCTGGGGAGCAGAAAGCAGGCACCTCACCTCCAATCCCCTCACTCCTTTATTTAGCACTTTGTCGCTTGAAATGGGGACCCCCTGGCCGACCAGGGAACGGATTGCGCGTCAGGACCAGACCATGGGTGACAGACACCACTTTTGGCGCTTTTTCCAGCCCCGACCACCCCCGTCTAACCCCGTTTTTTTCGCAATAGAAGCTTCCTTTTGTTTCTTGTTTTTTTCCCAACGCCCCTCCACCCTTACTTGTGCCTTCCTCATCCTTTCCCTACCCCCGCACTTGGCTTTCGCTACTCCATCTCCCCGCCCTCCAAACAGCTTTGGTTGCCAACTCATCGCCTCGTATTGCTTCCTTTGTTGGCGTATTCTTTGTCTACGTTGACAGCATGTGAGGCAAGCCCCCCCACACACCCCCAAGCCATCGCCAGGTATTATTTTGCTTGATGTGTTAGAAACCCTAAGCCCCTAAACCCAAGTCCGGTTTGAGCCCCCCTTCATGGAACCCCTTGCCTCGCCGCTCGCTACAGTGGCTGCAGGCCCCGAGGCAGGTCGGGGAGCATTACACTTTGGTTTAGAGCTTGGGGTTTAGGGTTTCGGGTTTAGGGTTTAGGGTTAATTAAGTGCAAACACAAACATATTAGAATCTGCGCGCCTTCTCTTTCTTGACTGCCTTCTCCTCACATGAGGCAGTGTTTGCGACACAACACCACTACGTGCTGCTGGTGTAACCCCACATATGTTACCTCATGACATCATCCCCATCATGTGCATTATCTCCATTATCCTCATGAGCAACAACAGCAGCAGCAACAGCAGCAGCAGCAGCAGCAGCAGCAGCAGCAGCAGCAGCAGCAGCAGCAGGAGCAGCAGCAGCAGCAGCAGCAGCAGCAGCAGCAGCAGCAGCAGCAGCGGCAGCGTAATCATCATCGGCATCATGAGCACCATGCACATCAGCAGCAGCCAGCCATCGCCGTCACCGCCAGCGTCCTGCTCCTCCTCTCCCTCCCTGCCCCCCCTCCCCTTCCCCTCCTCCCCCTCCTCTCCCCCTCCTCCCCCTCCTCTCCCTCCTTCTCCTCCCCCTCCTCCCTCCTCCTCCCCCTCCTCCCCCTCCTCCCCCTCCTGCCCCCCTCCTGCCGCCCTCCTCCCCCTCCTCCCCCTCCTCCCCCTTCTTCCTCCTCCTCCGTGCTCAGCCGAAGACGCCAGTCGACGGACAACTTGCCACAACACATTGATTACATGGATTGAACTTGCTGAAGAAGTCTCCTTCTCCTGTAGCTTCTGTTGCTTGGAGGAATAAAGCCCGCCCGTGGCACCTGCTTCTGAGATCTGAAAAAACAACCACTACCAACCCCACACTCCCAGCCTTAAACCTAAGCACCTAGACCAGCCCCGACTAGTGCCCCTGTCGAGGCCATGGGGAACAAAGCGCCCGCAACTTCAAGGCTGTGAGGCGGATGTGCAAAGGCTCTGGGGAGCAGCACAGTAGCACGACCACGGGGTTGCAGCTGCGGCCCCAGCCTCGTCAAAGGGGATTTGAAGATCGTTCCCTGTTTCTCGCTGCTCCAGGTGGAGATCTTGAGTGGCCCAACGCAGCTCAACATCCTCCCCCAAGCAAGCACGGAAGCATGCCCTTATAGCAGCAGTCACCCGTGATCCCTTCCTCAATGACATTTGATGACTTTGGCTATAATGGGGAACTTCTCAAAGAGATGGCGACGATGAGTTCAAACAGAAATTCCCACGCCTCAGGAGGCCATGCCATATTAGGCGCCTGCTGGCACTCAGCAGCAAGCCGTTCTACAAAAGTCTCCTTATCAGCGTTCCCTAGGTGACTTTCGCGACTTTCGGTTTGTCACGGCCTTGTCACTTTGCATAAAGAGCCACACATCCACAAAGGCTCGATGGCACCTTGTGCACCACCTCATAGAAGTCCAAGTCGTACTTGAGCATGACCCTGAACATCTCCTGAAAAAATGGCACGGCCACCCCACATGTCTTGGCTACACTTGCGCAGGCGTCCAAGACTGCGAATGACGGAATGGAACTCTGAAACACAAACCCCTCTGGGCCTCTGGAACCTTCAAAACCTCGCGCTCTCCAAGAGCTGCGGGCCTTCCGTGCTGCCCGATACAGGATCTTGCCAGGGCCCACTCCCTTCCTGCGCGTGTCACCTCGGACGATGGGTCTGACAACAGTTGGCATCTGGGCTGTGCAAGAGCTTGGGTGGGTATGGTGCTCTGAAATCTGGCGACTTGCACCAGGGTCTGCTTTCCTTCAGACGAACCTGCACAGAATCCACATAGACGTGAACCTTGCAGAAAAGCCCGAGTGGCACAAGTACACAAACTCCCCATAGTCCAGCAGGCGAGGACGTGTGACCCAGCGCCTCCCGGCCAGCTGTCTCAGAGTTGCGGTTGGCTTCTTGCTACCCAACAGCATGTGAAGTAGGATATATATTTCTTGTACCCCTAAAAGGACGCTCATGATATACACTCACCAATATTCAGAAGGAACCCTATATACACTCACCAAAAACAGTAATATAAACCCTACTTCAGTTGCCGAAGGTGACATGGCACCTGGTGCGCTCGACCATTGCCTGCCATCTGCGCTGCAGCCAGGAACCCTGCCATGTCTGGCTTGAAAGATGTCAAAGCACCAGGAGCTCTTCACGTAACTTTAGGGGTGAGAAAGTGGACTTCGCAGTCTTCCAATACAAAATCTTGCACAAAGCCAGAAGGGGGGGCCGGCTTGAAGATTCAAGACTTTGGGTGGAGGGTTTTAGGGTGTCAGGTGTAGGAGAGAACGTCGCTATGAGCACGCCGTTCTTGCGATGCAGGCCTTCTTCGATTTGCCACTCCTTGGACGGTATCTGATGCTAACAAAGTCTGCTCGCAGAGATCTCCGAAGAAGTCGCAAGGCACCAGGCAGACTCTATGCACGATGCCTGAACGAAGAATGGCCAACCTCCGCACATGTCCATGAGTTCTCCAAGGCCCGTACAGATTCTTGCGAGACTCCTGAAGTTATCTGACCAGTAGTTCTCTCTCCATCGAGCATCCAGGAACTACACGTGTCAAGCTCGCGCACTCATGAAAGCTGAACTGCGTGTTACAAGGGCAGTCGGTCTGTTCGGTCTGTTCGTGTGATCGTCTCCTTGAAGCTGATGTTTGCCAAGTTTGCCGACTTCGAAAGGCTCATCCTCGGCATGAGAAGAGCGAGCGAGAGAGAGAGAGAGGGAGAGGGAGAGGGAGAGGGAGAGGGAGAGCGAGAGCGAGAGTGAGAGAGGGAGGGAGGGAGGGAGGGAGGGAGAGGGAGAGAGTGATTCTCTCGCTCTACGGCCTGATCGACCTGAACAGCGCTGCCAGGCGTAGAATGCGGGCCAGCGGCTCTGTGCTGGCGTGGCTGGCCATTTGAGCCATCTCGACCTCAACTACACCGAGGAAGTTGCGGAGTGCGCGCAAAAACCATCAAGCTGGTTGGTCAGCCCTGTTGATTGTTGACGATGGACCTTTTGTGCACTTTGGACACATGAGCGCTGTAATTCATCCACCTGGTGATTTCCTGGCGTGAGCTAACAACAATAAACCTGCGTGTTGCCGGCAGAAACCAACTATCACGGTGTAGAAACCTCTTGCACTTCTGCTGCGCCAGCCTCGATCTCATCTTCCTCTCCTGGAGGCATGCAGCATTCCGCTGCTATGAACTGCTCACAACAAACAACATGAGTGGTGACCAAGGCTGACACGCCTCTCTTCACTACTCGAGAGCTAGAGGACTTCCAACATCGTTTTCCATGTCTTGACCCGGCTTGTTGTTCTTCATTCCTCCTCCAGGAGCATCAGACAAGTGGCGCTGCTGCCGCTGGTTCTCTACTCCTTCGGCTGCTGCCCGAGTTGCAGAATTGCCGTTTTGCGGCGGCTGCTACTCAGCAACTCCTCCTGTTGCTCCTCCTCCTCCTCCTCCTCCTCCTCCTCCTCCTCCTCCTCCTCCTCCTCCTCCTCCTCCTCCTCCTCCTCCGCCTCCTCCTCCGCCTCCGCCTCCGCCTCCGCCTCCGCCTCCGCCTCCGCCTCCGCCTCCGCCTCCGCCTCCGCCTCCTCCCTCCTCCCTCCTCCCTCCTCCCTCCTCCCTCCTCCCCCTCCTCCCTCCTCCCCCCCTCCCTCCCTCCTCCCTCCCCCTCCCTCCTCCCTCCTCCCTCCTCCCTCCTCCCTCCTCCCTCCTCCCTCCTCCCTCCTCCCTCCTCCCGCCTCCCTCCTCCCCTCCCTCCCCTCCTCTCCCTCCTCCCTCCTCCCTCCTCCCTCCTCCTCCTCCTCCTCCCTCCTCTCCTCCTCCCTCCTCCTCCTCCCTCCTCCTCCCTCCTCCTCCCCTCCTCCCCTCCTCCTCCTCCCTCCTCCTCCCTCCTCTCTCCCTCCTCCTCTCCTCCTCCTCCCCTCCTCCTCCCTCCTCCTCCCTCCTCCCCTCCTCCTCCCTCCTCCTCCCTCCTCCTCCCTCCTCCT